GGGGGGAAGGAGTTCTCCGGAGTTTTAGGAATTCTAAGCTGGTTTCAAAAAAAAGGAAAGAAAATTATTTGTCTGAAAAGAACATTGCTTCTGTTTATTTTCTGTATACTCTGTAAGTGGGCTGATAAGAATAACTAGTGAATTCAGTGTTAATGACCATACCAAGAATTTTTAAAGTCTGATATTATTTTAATGAAAGAGAGGACAAGTTAAAAAAAAAAAAAGCTACCAAAATACATGATGATTCTAGGATCCTCCTTTTGTTTTCTGCTGGCAGAAAACTGAAAAGTCAACTGTTTTAGAGAAACTTGATGGAAGCAAAAGGCATTTTGGGGTCCTGACCTTGGGAACAAATAAAGTAAAAGTTGATGCTGTGATGGGAAAATAAGAGAAAAGAAAATCAAGTACAGGAAACAGGAATAAAAACTGTGCCTTAAAATACCAACATGATTATAACCTCACCAACCAGATATCGTCATCAAAGCAGAAAACAAATGAACTACTCCTGACTCATGCGGGGTCCCAAATATTCAGAGAAGACCTGAACATCAAGCTCCATCTTTGACATCTGCACCTGGGTTCCCCCACAGGTACCTCAGGTCGCCTCTACAAAACCAACCCATGATCACCCAACACCAAAAACTGTTCACAGCACTCTGTGTTTCGATAAGCAATATCACAATCCGCTCACTGTGCAAATGGAGAACCGGGCCACGTCACTTGCCTCTGGTGGCCCAAACCATTCCCATCTCTCTCCCCGACAAGTCTGCTTGCCAGGTGCTCTTCTCCCGAGACTCTCCTCTGGGCTTCCCTGGCCATGGTCTCAACCCTCCCTTTCCAAGACTTCCTCCATATTTCTGCCCAATGGATCTCTGCCTGTGGAACGAACACGAGTCCCACACCTGGCAGACACCCACTGGCCTGGCCTCATGTCACGCCGGCCTCAGCCGCACAGTGGCTATTTGGAATGGCACTGCGTTTCTCTGACTGTGGCAGAATCTGCAGATGTTCAAGCACCTGCACAAGTCTTCCCCTCCTAGACTCACGGCTTGCTGCCTCAGGGCTCCTCAGCACTGGACATCCATCCAAGGTAATGCGTCTACATAATAATTAGCTCACTCCTCTAACACAACACCTAAGATACCTCTGGCTGCGCCCTACTAGGCTCAAGGCCCTTGAGGACAGATAACGTGTTACCCATCTCTGCAACTCCCTCCACCGGCAAAAAACAATGGGCTTAATCTGCTATTTTTTAATGAGTGAATATTAAGCCAATGGTGAAAACAAAGTCCTTTTAAAATGGCTTAAACAGCCGGGCTCGGTGGCTCACTCAAAAAAAAAAAAGGCTTAAACTTTCAGAACCACACAAGTTTCTACATGGTTACAATAAAGATCGATTTTGCAGCTAAGTACTGTCAACGTATGAATGTGTAATAGACAGTTCTCCACTTTTCTTTCTCTTTTTTTCTGAGTCGGAGTCTCACTCTGTCACCTAGACTGGAGTGCAGTGGCCATTCCCGGCCACTGCAGCCTTGACCCACTGGGCTCCGGCGATCCTTCTGCCTCAGCCTTCCAAGTAGCTGGAACTACAGGGGCGTGCTACCATGCCCGGCTCATTTTTGACTTATTGTAGAGATGAGGTCTCGCCAAGTTGCCCAGGCGGGTCTTGAACTCGCGGGCTCAGGCAATACACTCACCTCAGCCTCCCAAGGCGCGGGATGACAGGCTGAGCCACCAAGCCTGGCCACTTTTCTTTTTTTAGAACTTTTGAGCCTAAACTTGCTTTTCCTCTTTGAGAGATAATATTTCAAATAGAGGGAAAAGAAGGAAGGAGAAGAATCAGAAACAGTTTAGCCACTAAGAACAGGCTTGGCAAGACTTGGCGGGAAAAACTAAAACAGAATTTGATAGAATCACAGTTTTATTTTCTCATCTAACTTTACATATAAGATTCCTGTGACCAGTTATTGAGCAGCTGGGCGTATCTGGTCTTAAGAATGAAGTCATTCCTATAAGACCTAGAGACTTGGTTCAAGATTTTCCCTTAACTTTCTACACCAGGCCTGAGACTTAGGAGTTATTAATATATAAGGATCAAGCAAATAAATCAGAGTCTAAAGAGATCACTATTGACAATCATTGCTTCTGAAATTACTGTTTTAAGATGGTTGAATATTGTTAATCTTGAAAATGCCTACTTCTCAAGAAGAATATAAAAAGCAGAACATAAGTAACCCAGCCATTTAAAAGACCAAGTGTATTCTTGCCTGTTATCTAATGTGTACCTGTCCCAGTTATGCTGGAAGACAGGATGACTTGGAACACCTTAGAAGAGGATTGCTTTCACAGGAAAATGGTATATGTAGGCATGACCTGGTTTCTGTCCTGTAGGTGTCACGACAGTAAAATCAGATGCTGAATTTTGCTAAAAAACTGTTTAGAAAGACAGGCTTCATCCTGACAGCAAGGAAATTCCTAAATATTATCCACCAGGTAATTAAACCCATTTTGGAGTACATGTGTCAGCTTGATAAAGCCTCTTCAAGAGATACATATTCTGCAGTTTTCAAAGACTGACTTGTGGTGGAAAAACAAATGAACTGAACTGTTTCACCGAGGTGTACCTTTCACTGCTTTCCACTGAGTCAATGATGACTGATTATGGAGGAATGGGAGAAACATAGCCGTATCAGCAAACAGGGTTCTCGTAAACAGATCTTTCTCTTACGTGTGTTTTGGTCACTCAACTTATGCTGTACCTGTCTTAAGAGAACGTTTCGGTATGATTGTGCAGACGTGAAATAAATGTTAATCTCCAAGTAAACAGTCACAAATAACCCATCGCTAGATCCTAGCTCAGCCAGGCTCTGCACACGGTCTATCTCATATCACTCGCTTCCCAGGAGTGAAGAGTCTCCCGTGTGCTGTTCTGGACAAGAGGGAGGAGGAGTGTCTGAGAAGAGCTCTGGCACACCTGGCAAACTGATCAGGAGGAAGGAAGATCCCAGGCATTGAGCAAGTAGCTGCCCTCTTCACTTCCTGGTGAATAGGAGTTGGGCCTGTTCTAGGGCAGCAGCTGTTCCTCGAGCCTGTTCACTCCATTTTTTGATCAAGGACAGCAACTCCCTGAGACCTTCACCATGCTCTACATGAACTTGACCTCGAGTCACCATTTATCAAGCGCTTTCTATATGCTAGAGCTACGCATGCCACTAGTGAAACCGTCCATGATTTTTAGTATTTCTCAGGTGCGCTAGGAGGATCTTTTGCAGAAATGTTTTTCTGTTTTTGGCTCCTTGCCAAGAAGCTTGCCCTAGGATATCAGAACCTCCACAAAGTTCTTTTCAGGTTGACCTAAGCATCGGCTCACCATTTGGGACATAGTCCTGCTGTTGTGTGAAATGCACTCTGTGTGTCAGAGGTCAACGTTCTGTCACCCGTAAAGACCTTGTTTTAGTAAAATGATCAGGATCATTCACCCTGTCTTTGGAAATTCAAACAGCAATGCATAAAAAACTAAAAAGGAAACTGATTTTTTTTGTTTTTAGTAGGAACAAGGGAGGTGACCTCTCTCTCATTTTAGCAAATTCTCTTAAAAGTAGAATTATAAACAAACAGTATACGAAAGGAAAACGTGGGGTGTAAGCATTTGTGGCAGCAGTTTTATGCTCACTATGCAATTCTAGAAAGTAGGCAAGTCAGTATTTTTCCTGATCAAGGAAAAAAACTAAGCCTCTGTACCTTGAACTATCTGTTTTAAACACAGGGGAACCCATCCCCCTAAATACACCTAGGACTTCTACTTTGGATTGAATTCTAAACTGCTCAAATCCATTTATAACCACCCCTAAAACACATGCATGAAAGTGAAGTTCTGCCTACAGTGCACATGATCCCCTAGTAACACCTGAAGAGGGGCTCTGCCTGTGTGATAGTGACCAGTTCTGCCGGGCGCAGAGGCTCATGCCTATAATCCCAGCACTCAGAGAGGCGGAGGCGAGAGGACTGTCTGGGCCCACGGGTTTGAGACCAGCCTGGGCAATGCGGTGAGATCTCGTCTCTACTATAAATCAAAAAAATTAGCCAGGCCTGGTGGCGCACACCTATAACTTACAGTTACTTGGAAGGCTGAGGTGAAAGGATCGCCTAAGCCCAGTAGGTCAAGGCTGCCATGGCCATGAGCATGCCACGGCACTCCAGCCTGGGCGACAGAGTGAGACTCCTACTCAAAAAGAAAAAAAAAGATAGTGACCAGTTTTAAGGTATGGGGACTCCTCCTGGTGAGACAACCCAGCAAGAGGCTGGTCAATGTGCTCATGCTTAGTTAAGACCAGTGTGAAGCTGGAGATGCCTGGTAAAAACCTTCTGTTTATGAGCCGAACCAAAACAAAGATCAAAATACTACCAGACTGTACACATGAACTGAACCGTGCATCTATTTGAAGCCTTCATTTTCATACACCTTTTCAGTAGTTTTAAAGGATATGTAAATATGATTTGTGAAGAACCTGTCACCTCCAAAAAAGAATGGGGAAAACTCCACTACGAAAAGCAAACCCATATTAGTTTAACTTTTAGTTGAAATGAGAAACCGCACGTTTATTCATAGGTGCTGGAGCTAATGTCTACAGCAGATATATTACAATTTCAGGAAAATAACGACTTACACATTAGTGTGGTAGGTGCCAGGAAACATGCCGTGAATAGAAAATAAGGTCAGAGTAGGCATCCTGCTGCAGGCCCTTTGGAGGCAGTGTTTAAAACTCACATGCTGCTTCAAGCACTGTTCACACCAAGATTTTTAGCTAAATCATCACTTCTAATCTTATTTTCTATTACCAGAGTGTATTCATTAGAAGCGCAAAAGTCAAGCTCAAAATTTTTTTTTTTTTAGTTAAAAAATAGGTTAATAGGTCACAAAGTCAACTTGGGGAAAGCTTGGTGGGCTACTTTAGGACAGGCATGGGTGAACACACAGTACCGTGTGAAGGTACTGATTCTCTGGTAGCATTCTCGCCACACAACACCTGGCTGCCTAGACAAAGAGCAGAACGACACAGCTTTCACTATGATATTTGAGTTACCCTCCCCAGTCCTTCACCTGCAACACCTATGTGTCCATAACCGTGCCTACTTACTATGATCGATATAAAATGTCCGGCCATCCAAGTGAATTCTTTCTTCCCAACCAGGCTAGGATCCAGGGAAGGGGGAGAAAGAGAAATAGGAACATTAGCCAGCAGTCCCAAAAGCAAAGGTAAACATCAGAACGATCAGATGCTTCTGTATCCTTCTCGCCTTTACACTGAAAATACACAGTGCCTAAACATTTTAAGTGAACTCTCGACAACTGCATGAGGAATGGGAGACGGGGTTGCCATTTCAAAAGCTTCAAAGGGAAACTTCAGCACACCAGGGAAGGGTCAAGGCTGAGTAGCTCATTTAATTAAGTAAATACTGAGTACTAAAGGAAGGGAGGAGAAGGGTTAATATAAAAATGTTAGACGCAGTTACTGTATTTCTGTTATGCAGGTAATTGACCGCTATTCTCTGCCGTGAAGCGCTTGCCCTTCAAACTCAGGACGAAATACATTTGGATTGTTTTTTGCAAAATAAGGCCAGTATCAGAACTGTCCCTATTTGCTATCTGACCCTCAGGAATCCAACAGATTCAGGGGAAATAAACGCTTTCATTCACTTTCCAGACTCATTCTCACGTCATTCCATCTTTCCTTTTGAAATCAGGAACCAAAAAGATTTAGAAAGTGGGGGATATTGGCAGAACCTCATGAATAATGATTGAACCCTAACCTTTGAAGTCTCAAATTTTGCCATGTTATATTATACACTAGGTAACAGGAAGGCTTTTATGCAAGGAAAACAATAAAAATTCCCAATTAAAAACAAGTCTTAGAGTCCAACACCTGTCCCACCCCCCCCATTCCCCGCAAAAAACATTTTAAAATTGGGGATGGGATGGTTGAGGAGAAGGCATGAGAAGATTTTAATCAAAATCCAATTTGAAGTAAACAGCTCAACTCCTACTCAGGCCTCCAAAGAGAACACACCGGTAAAAAATTCAGATTTATAAACACTGACCAACAAGGGAGAAAAAAACTTACGATGTTGACTGAAAAATAAGATTAATTGCATAGAAACTTTCAGTGATTAGTTATGCCTTTTTCTCCCACATTATTTCATTACTGGTTCATATGCCTAAATCAGCATAATATGGATGGAACTCAGTGGTTGCTAAATTACAAAATAAATGAGTGAAGCTCAAATTGTTACCTGTAGAGACTGCCTCTGGAACATCCTAGGTATAAGGTCTATCTATCTTGCACCACTGGCTACAATTCTGAAACCTCTCTCACAAGTCCTGGGTAGCACGTGAACTACAACGTACTATTAAAATTCGGCCAAACACTCAGTTCAGTTAAGAAACACAGATCCGCGGGACCCAAGAAGCCCGTGAAAGAGAAAGCCCACAGGGCTCCTCCGTCAACAGTGGGCGGATAAACGAACAAACATTTTCAGACCGTTCCATGTGTCTCCAGTGTACTCACAGGAAGAGGGCCAAGGTCATTGGGGTTTAAAGATGCCTTTGACCTCATGTGAACTGGAAATTTCAAGCGTGGATCTTCCTGCAAGAAAAACGTAAAAGGCGGTGGATGTTAAGAGCGAGTATCTGTGTGTGGTTACGGGTTCTTCGCCTTCTCGAGTCGTGAGTTCCAAGGCAGCCAGACTCCCTGTGCCTGGAGCACAAGAAGGATCTCTTCACGGCTTTGCACAGGAAGCCAAGACAGATTGTACTCTTCCTCCTTGTGCTTGGTGTAAGAAGGAGAGTAAGAATATTTATTTTCCCAAGGCCTAGGGAAGGGGAAGGGGAGGAAAGTCCCAGCAGCGATGCTACTAGGGAAACCAGAATGGAGGGCGACAGTGACTATGTGGCACAGAGAGGGAGTGGGGACCGTGGTGTGTAAATCTCCCTGTGAGTCCTGAGCTCCCGGGGAGGGCAGCCAGCCTAACACATTAGAGACAGCCCCCCACCAGCGCTGTGCTCCCCTCCGCAACTTTCTGAACCGAGCTGAGAATCCGGAATCTGGTCTGTCAAGTCATGTGACTCACCCAGAGACCATCTGCTCTGTCATGTCAAGTCACGTGCCCTACCATAGTACTGTGCTGAGAAACCTGACCACGTTCTGCTGATTATGTTCTCATTTATGTCTCAATGTTCACAAGCTTTCCTTTAGGGATAGGCTTCATAAGATACCATAGAGAATCAACAAAAGGGAGACACTTTTGTTTGTATTCTGACACCTTGGGTCATGCTTTATGATTTACAAAGAATAGTCAGACATTTGATCTTGCAACAGTCCTGGCTAGAGGTTGGGCACATAATCTCTGTCTCTTTAGATAAGGAAATTGAGTTTCAGAGAGAACAACTCTCACTTGTATAGACAAAATGGAGGCAAAAAATCATCCAGTATTCTGTAGTATATTGGAACACATACAGTGAAAACAAATAAACAAGAAGATTTAGGATTCAGAAGACCCAAGAGGCTGATGATCTGATAAACATTTGTTTATGGTCAACCACAGAGGAAAACTTAGAGCACCAAACTTCCTAAAAGCGACTCCCTCAACGCTAACTCTGAGCTGGACAAGGTAATGCCACAACTACCAGGAGACTCTTGGGACCCCACGGAGCCAAAAGGCAAGCCAGGTTCCGAGAAAGCCTGGGACTGCTATTACCTGAAAGAGGCCAAGGTCAGCCATGTGGAATCACACATGGTCTACTGCAAAAGGCAGTCAGCCCTTCTGGTAAAACTGGCAGTTTGAGGGGTGGGGAGCAGGGTAGAGCTGAACTGAAAGAAAACCACCAGAGGGGACTGAGGGGGGAGGTCACGAAGGATAAAATAAACTGAACCTCACAGGTCTCCTGAGACAGCCTTGCGTGGACTTCCAGACTTCCTAGACCGTGAGTGCCAGAGGCCCCGAGGATTTAAATGATTTTTATTATGCTAGCAATGAACCAAATAGTGGCAGCCCTGCCATTAATCAAGCTCTGAGGGCTACGGCTAGTGGTCACCACTGACTCACTCTCCAATGAGCCACTCAAGGAGGCAGTCACCTCTCTACAGCTGACGGAGCAGGTGAGATGGCAGTTGAAGCTTTGTGTTAGTTACGGAAACCTTAGGGATGGTAATAAGTTGGAATATGAGTGAGGTCTCAGACAATGTGGGCATAAGTGAACCGAATACAGAAGATACACTTAGTGGTTTCTGTCTTTCCTCAGCGTAGTCAGGAAACTCTTTCATGTGTAATGAATTGCTTCCCGCAATCCAGTTCAATGTGTTTTTAAACAGAATGCAAAGACTAGTATCCTTTTAAAAAGGGGTTTCTTAACTTAAAAATGTATACAATAATAAAGGAATACCGGCTGGTTCAAAAACAAACGTGCCTTTTCCCTTTATTCTTTCCATCCTGCGAGAGACCAGCAACCATGCCTAGGCTACAATGAGTTTTATTACTTTGAACTTGGATAGAAAACAAACAAACCTGAGATTTAGCTGGGGGATAATCTTTCTTGCTACAAAAACAAGCCAACGCTTCATCCTGTGCAGGGTATACACATGCTAACACAGACTGAGTCTTCCTTGTCCGAATGCTTCGGGCCAGAGGTGTTTTGGATGCCAGAATACTCACGGTATAGGTAGCCAGTTCAGCATCCCTCATCTGAAAATCTAAAATCCAAAATGCTCCAACAAGCATGTATTTCCTTTGAGCGTCATGGTGGTGCTCAAGAAGTTTCAGATTTTGGAGCATTCTGGATTTCAGATCTTCAGGTTAGGGACACTCAACCTGTTCCCATGCCTGGAGTTGCTTTAGCAGAGAGAACTGCAAATTGGACTCTCCTCGGGCCCCTGGTGGCCCCTGGAGTTCCATCATGTACTCCCCGGAGGCCTGACCCAGGTGGGGACAAGGCCAACATTTTTTATTTGGATGAGGTCAGACTCTAACCCAACAGACTACTGGCACACTGCCTTCATTATGTGTGTGTGGGAAGGGATGTGTGCCTCTCATCGTATACAGGTGAAATGTTAGCCTGAGTCCATGCGCTTCTGGCTAGTGAATCAACGGCGCCCAGGCTGGTGGGAAGGAGTGCTATTTTGGTCATTCTCAGCCTATCCTACCAGTTTTCATCCTGCTTTGCATTATAATGTTCCAATCCAAGAATAGCTATGTTGTTTTCTCATTTGTTCCCTTTCAAAAAAACAAACAGAGCAAACCCCAAACCAACTCAGAACGGATTTTTTAAGCTTAAAATAATCTTCACTTTTCCCTCCAGCCCTCCACCCCTTGTCAAAACGAGCAGTTGATTGCGAATGCATCTTCTGCAGGGAGGGTCCCGGGTAAGCCTTTGTTTAGAAGCAATAATGCCGCTGTGTCAGCACATCTGAGATTAGTTAAGAAGGGCAGTAAAACTTGTGGAATTTCCAGTTGTTACCTTAAGGATTTTCCACAACAGCAGCAGCAACAGAATGTTGTTCCAACAAATTGAGATTTTTAAACTAGAAAATCAGCCAATATTAAGTATCTGGGCAAAAAAGGATCCTTGGAAATTAAAAATGGGTTTCATTCAGTGACAAGGCAGGCAAGAAATAAAGCCAGGGCTGTTTAAAATAAAATCTGCCCAGCTGCAATTACACTGCAGTTGTGGCGTGAAAGGCTGTGAAAAGGTTAGGGGATTTGGTTACTAAGCTAGTTCAAATTACTAAAATCATAGCTTATGTTGGCAAGCCACAGTGGCTCCATAAACTAATCCATCTACTTTTATCATCGTTATCCCCTATTTCTGGAGCCCCGATTTCTGGCTGAGGATTTGAAATTACAGCAGCGCCACAGTGAAGGAGAATGTGGGCGGGATAGCCACGGTCCTATGGCCATGAGAAAACAGACATAAAAACCAGTCTCAATTGCCATGTTTTCCGAAGAGCTGCCTGTCTCTTTCTCTTGTCCTGCCCACAAACCTGTAACATTATCCTCAGACTGAAAGGTGGGTCACACAAACTCGCAGGTCATTATGTGCCTCAGAAGCAGTTATTAGTTTACCAAATGAATGTCACCAGATCTAAATGAGAAATTCTCTTGGCAGGCCATGTCTTTTCTGCAAAAGAGAAAGCGCTTTCAGAGTGGCTCTCTGTTAGGGGTGTGGGGCATTCTTGGCTGTCACTGTGTTGGGGGAGTGGCGGCCATCAGCATGGTGCGGCAGGAAACGAGGATGTTAAATGTCCTGCAAGGGAAAGCACAGTCCTTCTCCCAAACACCAAGAATGCCCTCAGAGTCACAATGTCCCATAATCCGTAGGATTTTAGAGAGACTGCCCACTAGACCAATCCTCAAGGGACGGAATTAATATCATACCATGGGCAAAGTGTAAAATGACAGTCCAGATGCCCTTAGTCAAGGTCTGTTCCTTGATATAATACTTCTGGTCCATCAAATGGACACAATTGGCGTCCATCACTAGAAGTGGGAATTTAAAGGGTATAGTCATGGTTGACTCAAAACGAAAGAGCCACAGCCAATGACAATCACCAAATCTCAATCAACTTTCCCGTCATCGGTTCTAAGTAAGTAGCACAGATGACAGAAGAACCAAGTTCAACTCTGGGTTAACTCTAGCCAGACACTTAGAGAGGGACAGAAGGGGCAGGAAGAAACTCAAACCGTCTGCAGCATCACAAATAGCCAGAAATAAGAGACCCAATGTCAGCTGAGTTCCTAGTCTAGTGATTACAAAAACCAGAAAAATACCAACTGACTTATTAAAGAGTTATACACATTGTGTGGGAAAAGCCACTATTAATTCAGCTGAAGAAATAAAGAACTGACAGAGAAAGACAAAGATATGCCTATTGGCCTTTGATCTCATTTTGCTCAAGACAATACAACATACAGATTCCTTCTCATGTATGATTAGAAGCACATGGCAGAACAGTATGGTAAGAAAAGTCAACTTGGACAAAATGATCACAAAAAGGAGTTATCCAACTTTCAACCAGTCATTCAGCACATCCCCCAACTCACAATTAAAGGGATGAAAACGGAGCACAAACGTGTGACATACCAACCTGAAGTGAACAGCAAAAACTAAAGTGACAAATCAAGTGAAAGTGGGAAATGTCAATAAAAATGCAAAAAAGAAACCGACAAAGAAAAAAGTGTTGGAAAATGATTATAATTCCTGCTGAAATTACGTCGTGAGATGGCTTACAGTAACATCAAAATGCTAGCACCATGAAATGCTGTAATTTTTTCCAATATGGGAAACTGTCTCAACCAGAGTTTTCCAGGAGGGCTCTGAGGAGAGGCAGTCCCCCTGACACCAACTCCCAAGACGGCTACTAGCCTGTGTCCACCCACGCCCACCCGCCTGTCCGGGCAGGGTCCAGACGCAGGCTGAGGGAGACACCCTTCAGAGCCAGTGGAATTCTTCTACAAGAACCACAGATACCGAGTGAGGAAATAGAGGGAGGGACGTCAGACTTCACAGTGAAAGTGGAGCCAAAGAAAAGCAGCAGCCTTACCCAGGTTGTGGTCTTTGTGTTATGGTCAATGAAGAAGGGCCGGCCATTTGGAGCTATCCTCATTTCCCAGCCAGGCGGCAAGAAGCTCTGTGTGACTTTGTGTTGTGGTTTGGGGGAGTTGTAAGGTGACGGCTGTGGGGACTGTGGGTTGGAAAGGGTGTCTTTCACAGCCCGGCGTATGGGCGAGTCCTTGGCACCCTGAGGAATAATAACGAGCATTAGAAGTCTTTATCACGTGCTGGTCCGATGTGTCAGAATGTACCAGGGTATCGCAGAACACTCCTTTTGGGAGACAGAGGGGAAGCTCCTGAAAAACCTGCTTCTGTCATTCACTCAAAGTACAGACTAATTTACTTTTTAATTAGTCTAATTTTACACGTTTTCTGTTGGTTAAAAATGTAACCACACTGGGTGTTTATAACAACCATCCTTTGGTAGCCACTCGGCACATACCCCAAATACTGTTCTGTATTAAGTATTATGGATAGAGATTTTACAGAGTGGAGAAAAACGTGCCCCTGCTCTTAATGAGCTCACAGTCTAAGGAGGGGTTGATGGGCAAGTTTTAGAGCACAAAAAGAGAAGGCTACATCAATGGAAACAACAACCTGGAAACTCACAGTGTTACCCATAACATTTATACCAGACTTTGGGAGAGAGACCATCCATTCCCCCTGGCCAGCATCTTGACCTGGGCATGGGGCAGTCCACAGCTGTCTCTAAGACACAGTCAAGTTTAGGACTTCGAACGCTCGCTCTTTGGCTTTTGCTAAGTCTCTGACATTTGTGATGTGCAAGGATGGCACTAAAACAATACAAACAGGACAGAGAGCAGAAGCAGATGCCCAGCGATGACTCAGAGATGCAAATATGCATCAGAAACACGTATGCCCATACAATGAGAGACCCTACGGTTGAAAGAAAAGAAAAATGACCAAAGCAACAGCTGTGTTTTAAAACTCAACGTAAGCATTGGTAGTTGAAAGAATTGTTATGCAAGTTGAATGAGGTAACAGGCACTAAGGAGCAAAACACAACAAGGATGGAGAAAGCTCCCCAACAGAGAGTACCCACATCCAGCACAAGTCACCACGGCCTCAGCCAAATGGGAATGAGATTCAGCGAGAGTCCAGGGATGTTAACTGGGCAAGACAGAGAAGCATGTTGGAAGGCTGCACGAGAACACCTTCACCACCAACACAACGACGGACCAGAGAGAGGAGGTGGCTGCAAAACTGAGGTCGGAGTTAAGAGAGGAGAAAGAATGAGAGCAGTCACAGGACAGAGTGACCCCAGTTAGATGAGGGAGCCTTCTCACCTCCAGGGGGGCAGATAAAGTAACTGTTGGCGAGCTGAGGCTACGAGGCCGGCGGATCTGAGGCTCGATTAGATGGTTGTTACTGTTTGTGGCCGATCCGGAGGCACCATCTTCTGCAAGCTATTTTGGAGGCAAAAACAAGTTAGCTTCACATGAGGATCTCCGTGTGTGTGTGTGTGTGTGTGTGTGTGTGTGTGTGTGTGTGTGTGTGATTGGGAGTGCGAATCCAAACACCATCACAAACAGCAATAATAAGAGGGCTGGCCTATTTAAAGCGTGGAGGAAATAATTAAACATAATAATGGGGGAAAGGATGGGGAGACACATTCAAGGGATATAAAAATGGATCACTAGCCCAGCATAAAACTAGCCTCAGACAAGGGGGGTGGGGACGGGAGGAAGCAACACACAGCAAGGGGCTCTTACTTTGAAAAGGTTTTGCACGTCACATTTAAAAAATGTGTTCAAGTGACAAACTGATTGGAAAACTCACTTCTTCCTTAGACAATTATACTTCAAGCAACGCACTTTCTTTGTGGGAAAACTTTTGAAAACGGGGGAGCTTCAGAACAACACACAGGCATCGGGAACAGGAGGCATGTCACGTACACTTTGGCTTCTAGGGTCTGCGATTTTAAGCTGTGGGGCGATCTTCGTACCTGCATGATAGGTCGAGTCCAAGTTGTGGTTCGATTGTTATGATTGACATAGTACGTGCGCCCCTTAGCATCTTTTCTTTCTTCCCAGCCTGAAGGTAGGCCCGGCGTGGTATGTACATAGGCCACTGATGGCTGTTTGTGCAAGAAATCATTATTATTTAATAACTTGCATTTGTTTCCAGATCAGTTTAATTGTACACTCAGATAGTTATTTTTTTTAGACATAGTAGGTTAATTCTATTTGTACAGAAAACATTTCAAAGAAGGACTGAAAAACAGCAGAAGGTTTCTAATAGCTCCAAATCCACTGTGAGCTGAACCCCACATAGTTGTGAGGTCCAAAAATCATATAGAACTCAGTTCTAAGACCCTGTGGTCTTAAACACCTAAAGGGCCATTGCTAAGATGACTGCAAGGAAAGGGAAAAACATCACAATCTGCTCCAAGTTGCTCGATTGCATTGCCAACCAGGTAGAGCTTAGAGGTATTTCGAACTATCTAACATCACTATCTATGAAAGGGATGCTCTGAATATTTTTTCCTCAACTTAACTGCCATGGGGTGCTCTTCTAGTCTAGTCCTGAATTCCCGCATCAGCTTAGAACCTTTACACCATAGCTCTCAGGACAAAAATTGAAAAACCTGACACAGAAGTCTTCCTCTAGGACACTGCAGTCACATGGTGGCATAGAATCCTGAGGACCACCCAGAACATCTGTGTGCCCCAGCTCATGAAGGTCCCCAAACACCTGAGCTAAGGATTCCAAAGGTGTCTTACACCCAAGGCTGTGTTCACCTCAGTCTGCTGATATGGAGTGTGTCTCTGAAGACGAACAAAGCTCAGCAGCCTCTGGGTTTTGAGGCATGTCCAGTGTAGAGTGGTATTTAGATAGTCCACATCTCATCACAAAAGGATCCTTGAGACACTTTTGCTTATAAGAAGCAGTCTGAATAGAGAAATCTTGGAATAGCCAGGATGTGACAACGGTTTATGGAGGCACTGGGACAGATGGAGGAGATCAGGGCTGTCCCAGAAAGTCCTGGCTGCATGAGTGATGCACAGAAGAGTTATTCCTGGGAAAGGGTGCTTAGAAGTAGGGAGGGACTCAGAGGCCAAAAGCCAACCTCAGCTATGCCACGGCTGCTGGAAGAACAGAAAAGAAACAAGAGCCTAAACATTAGTCTCTTCTGAGAGGTCACAAAAGGAGACTACTCCTTTTTTTGGATGCTCTCTTCTCTAGTTAGGACCTTCTCTTGACCTCTTAGATATTTTAGCAGGTGTCATTTTCTTGCTATTAGGTTGAAGATATAAAATCTCCTCTTAACCTGGCTTTGTCCTGTACTTATGCCACGTTTTCCATTCACTGCCAGCAACGTGCTTTGGTGAAGAAAGTCATCTGGAGTCCATAGCAGACCCCAGGACCTCGAATAAAGAAAGCATCTACAGACTGCTGCTTAGACTCCATCTAAACAGACTCAGTATGTGACTTCATAAACTTAACAGCACATTCCAGAGAAAAATTTCCTAACCGACAACGAAGCAGTTGATTTTAGATGATCTGTTAGAAAACCTTCTGCTAAAAACGCGACCATTTCCTTGACATTTTTTCCAGACAAAGTCCTAAAGGCTCTATCAAGATAACTATGGAACTCTGACCATATGGCACTCTGGATCCAGGTGTGGCGGTTCAACAAGAAGAGCAGAAGATATGCCAACAAGCAGACTTAATCCTTTCGTGAATATTCAAGACAGGTAAAGTCGACTACAGCCTGAAAGCAGCTCTTTCCTCCCCGACCCCCCAGCAGTGATGCCAACACAGCAGATGAACTAAGTTGGCAACCCAAACAGTAACCTAGGTTTGGGCCAATTAGTATTTCTGGCAAAATACGGGATATGAAGTTTTGACCTACTATTGTTTATACAACCAAAAATGCTTTGGCGAAATGAAATACTAAGTTGTTTCTTAGGAGTGGCAATGAGATATGCCCTCTGAAAACTCAGTTGTGGAAACCTTTAGAATATTTTTACAGTTATAGAATCCCCGGAGAGGATTCATATATATGGCAGCTGATAAACTGAAACAACATGCATATGTCATAGATAATCTCAGAACCAAGTTCTAAAGTTGTATGAATTCCAGCAACCAGGTGACTTTCATGGAAACATGGTGAACAGGACTAATCAGTTGTGGAAAATTAGGAGTCTAGTACAGAACATTGAATTTAATTAAAATGTTCATTCTCCTTTCCATTAAGAATTGCACTGGCGACCTATAATTTAGTTTCATTTATGTGAGATGGTATTTTAAAAATGTTTCTTTACAGCGTTCTCTCCAAATGACCGTGTAGAACAACCTGTGCCCATGACTCCATTTAAGACTTAAAATATTGCTTTCTACCACAGGGCCAGTGGGGGGTTGGGGACAGAACTTGGCTTTCACAGAGCATGGAAGGGGCCAGTCACAAAGCCAAAATCAGATCTCTACTCCTCTATGCTTATGTGTAAGTTCCACGCTACCTCAAGAAACAAGTAATCAAGAAACCACTTAGAAAGTCCTGGTTAGCCCAAATAAACCATTTATTTATGAAATTAAGACTATTTTTTAAAAAAGAAAGTTTTAATTAGCTTGAGATTTCGCCACTTTTCATCTGTAGACTAGTAAATTATTGCTTCACGATGCTAACACTAGAGCTTCATAGTGGCTTTGTTTTCATTAAAATAAAGAACTTGGCTGATAAGCTGAATAAAGGCCCTACAATTATTCTATCCATCCTTATTAAAAAATAACCACCCTGACACTGGTCATCACAGATCCCCTAAGACTCACACAAACCCTGCCAGCCTAGTGTCCTAGGTATATACTTTTAGAATGCAGACAGCAAAGATTACAGGACTCTGCTGTCCCTCTCTATCTCACAGGGAGGGTCCCTACATGACCCGCCAGAAAGTGACATCCGTGTGTATTTATTTGCCATAATCAAAGTGTTGTGGTTTCTCAGTGGAGAATCAGGACCTGTCCAGTATAATGAACACGAATGAAAGCACTGGGATGAGCCGGGCTCGGTGGCTCAGCCTGTAATCCCGCGCTTTGGGAGGCAGAGGTGAGTGGATTGCCTGAGTCCACGGGTTCGAGACCCACCTGGGCAACTTGGCGAGACCTCATCTCTACAATAAATCAAAAAATCAGCCGGGCGTGGTAGCGCACGCCTGTAGTTCCGGCTACTTGAAAGGCGAGGCGGAAGGATCGCCGGAGCCCAGCAGGTCGAGGCTGCGGTGGCTGGGAGCGGCCACTGCACTCCGGTCTGGGTGACAGAGTGAGACTCCAACTCAAAAAAAAAGAAAGCACTGGGATGGAAAGACAGATATACCCATACGGTTGCTACCACAGAGCCAAAGGGAGGGAAGGTGAATGACTTCCATATGGGGAATTTATATGCACTGTAGTGTCTTTACATCACTGGACATTATGTAATCATTACCATGTCCCAGAAGAGTGACCATAAGTTAAAAAAAAAAAAAATCAAGCCGCTGAGTAATATCATGGACACATCTCATTTTTCTATAGTAAAGCGGCTCACTGTGCACACGTGTCTATGTGAGCATGGGGGAGAGTGAGATGACACATTCCAGTAGCTCCAGCCGGGGGCAATACACCTCAGTCTGATGCATTTCAGTGTGAGGTGCCGTGGAGAGGAGTCAAAGAGGTGTCTCTTAGCTGCGCTGAGACACAGAACTGGAAGAAAGTCAAGGGCATTCATGACAAAGGATGTGGAGGAGAAACCTTCGGGACACAGTGGAAGAGAAAAAGATGTGATCCCTTCAATATCTAGGGAGAGAGAAAGTAGCGCGTGAGATTAGGTGAAACACTTAGGAACTAACATTGCCAAGTCTGGAAAACTCAAGGACCCAACCCAATCCACATTTTAGCTTAGTAATGACAGGGAAAGGGGAAGACAGAACAGTCAAGAACAGGGTTGTCTTAAGAGCCACGTGGATCTCACGCAGATGGGTCACCTCCTCCTGCCAGGTAATTCTTACCACGGAGCCTGGCCCTACAATTATTCTGTCCATCCTTTGTTGACCACCATATCCGCTATCGTCATGCTCCAAAGCTAAAAACAGGTTGCAAGGCAGCAAAATGCAAAAATAGGTGACACATTGCGGGTGTTGATCAGGACTGAATTCCACTAAAATATTTCATGAAATGATCGCTGTCTCCCTCAAAGCTTCACTACTCTCAGAAGTTACTGGTGCGCAGTAGGAAATATGCTAATTCACTTAGAGTTCCTTGAATTCTACTGGAAGCTGGCTCACCCAAGAGAGGATTGTCACATAAACCACTACAGCTCAGTACCTTAAACCGAGCTGTTTCTGATTGCCCATTTGATTCTCCTCTTTATAAGGCTGAGCATTAAGTTCTAACAATGTAACTAAAATTGTTCATTTAAACCATCAGCATCCTTCAGAAACCAGCAGATGTGTGAGTAAAGTGATTCAAAAGTAATGAGAGCAGCTACAACAAAGGTGAAACAAGACAGAAATTCCTTAAATAGTAATAGCAGCTCAGAACGTAAACAACAAGCTAGCCTGACCTCAGAGACCAAGCAGGAAACAGGCAATTAAAATGCACAGTCAAATCTATGTTACCTTCAAACACGAATACTAGATGGAAAATAAACGGAATAATAAGAATAATAGATAGTCAGCTACCCACTACAGTTTTTCTGGACCCCTTATATATCCTGGTGACGCTTTCCACCCTGGAATTGTAAGGACATTTGCTCATCCCTGTGAGCAGAGCTCCTGGTAGCAGAGAAAGGTCACTGGTTGATGCTGGAGACACAGAAAGTCTAACCCCGTTAGAAATGTGGCACAGGAAACACGGAGGCCCCGTGCATGGCCAGGGATCACAGGCACAATGTCATGCAATTCCTGTGGCTTCTCTGATCACTTCTTAAAAACAAATTATTTTAACCAAGCATTCTAATGAAAAGGGGAAGCTTATTGGGAATACAAACACTAAAAACCAAAAACCTGTTCTAAACAGTCAAACTGAACGCGCTTAAACAAAGCCTGACATCATTTCTCACATAATGGAATTGACAAATCATTCTACTCTACTCAGTACCTTCAAATAATCTGAGAAGCTAAAAATAAGAAACGTATGCAGCTATGTGGCACAAAGAAGCTGATCTTACTTTATAAAAGAGAAAGCACAGTCACCACAACACAGAGTATCAAAACTTCCCCACAGACTTTGTCATTGATGTCTGATAAAGTGGATCATTACCGTTGGTTCCTCACCACCCGTGACAGTTGATGAACGCACTCTCCTAGTTGGGGCGCTGGGCTGTGAATGACAATTTACATCAGTGAAATGCACTTAGGGGACCCACTGCCTGCTGAATCAGGGGCCACTGCAGTGGCGGTGCCATGAGGCGGGTGACAGGAGACCAGAATCCCTGAAATCCACCCTGTCCAAGCAAAGCTGAGCTGTCACTGATGACCAGTACCCGAAAGGAAGCATGACCTCCAACCCCCATGCCACCCCAAAGAGGCTCAGGCGGCCATCCTTGATCTGGGTAAACAATACCAGTTTAAAAGAATAAAGAAATAGATGTCTTATTAAAATGGAAAGTCGGTCTGGTTTTGATCCTACTGTTAAATAATCAGCGGATTCTGAAATCTTCCACACTCAGAACCCAAGAGGCCACTGGTGATCAGTGAGTTTACAGCATCACAGAGTACAAGAATGGAGGCAAGAGGAATCATCAGTTTCCAGGAAAATGAGCTTTTGGCAAATACAGTTGACACTGATTTTGAAAAGGAGAGAAAGTGCCATCAACTCAAGGAAAATCACCGAATCACGAGGCTGAGAAGGATCCCACCAGTCCATCACAGTTGATTGTTCTGGTTTTTTTGGGGGGGAGAGGGGCTGTCCCGAAACCACCCCAGAAAGGACGCTCTTATCAAGTTTGTTAGTAACCAGATTATCAGGTGTAAGTCGCAACTGAATCTATTACTGACTGCTTACTTGACTAATATCTTCTTTAATTCATTTTTTTAAACATAAGAACTAAAGCCTAGGCAAAAACATCCTTTGAAGTTAAGCAAAAATGTACACGATACGGAAGACATTGTGATTTCAGAAACTTAATGCACTTCCCCCCCTCAAATTCATATATAATGAAGTAAAAATGATAAAGGTTTTGTAGCAACAAAAGTAAGTCGGTCAAGGTCAAAATCAGATTGAACACGTGAAAACCACATTGTAGTTTCACCTCCAAAAGAAGAAACAAATTTACATAAAATTTCTTATTTGCAATGTGTACATGAAACATCTCCCAAGGCAGTTCTGGTCTGCCTTCCAATTTGAAAATTTATTTATTTTTTATATTGGATGTTATTAAACCCCCTATACCTTCTATATTTGCTAAGCTATTAAAATTATGAAAGAGTTGGAGCAAATTACAGCCAATTCTTTGGTCAGCAGAGCTGCCTTTAAAGAGACAGTACAGAGGCGTTATGCAGTTAAGAGTTTAGGCTATTAGTAATGGAAAGGACCACATGGCTGGCCACCCAGAAGAGTTCTTCCTGTTTAAAGGAATTCAGCGTGTTTTCAAAGTATAGACCATTCGAGCATAGCTATACTAAGAAAATAAAGTAAAAGGAATTATTAACGTACAAAGACGTTGATCCAAATTGGTATAAATCTGGGTAAAAAACTAAAGCAATGAAGGATCTAGCATTATAGAGACTGGGAGGCAATAATAATTCTTTGTATTGGAAATCTACTCTCCTTGGGCAATTTGCTAGGATATATTAAAATGTCTCATTTATATAGTAAATGGATTTGCACAGGAAAAACTCTTTGCAGTAGCCCAGATGATTTTAGATAACAGCCAAAAAAGTGGACTGATGACTGGAAGTTAGCATGGGTTACCGGTGGTAGATGGGTCTGTTCTGCAACCGCGTCGGTGACACTGCATGACCTCAACCTCGAGGAAGGCTCTCTCTGCTGAAGGGGAAGAGAAGACAGGAAGCATCAAGAAACGTTCTTAGAAACAGGCTTCCCAAACACATCGATCACTCAGGCCACTTCACCAGTCTTTGATAGTAGGAGGCAATTAAATGAAACATCTTTTCAGAACAGTGACAGTCATCCTTTAAAAAATAAGTTATCAGCTGGGCTCGGTGGCTCAGCCTGTAATCCCACGCCTTTGGGAGGCTGAGGTGAGTGGATTGCCTGAGCCCGCGGGTTCGAGACCCGCCTGGGCAGCGAGACCTCATCTCTACAATAAATCAAAAAATCAGCTGGGCGTGGTAGTGCATGCCTGTAATTCCGGCTACTCGGAAGGCTGAGGCGGAAGGATCACCGGAGCCCAGCAGGTCGAGGCTGCGGTGGCCGGGAGTGGCCACTGCACTCCAGTCTGGGCGACAGAGTGAGACTCCGACTCAAAAAAAAAAAGTTATCATCCGCTTTAATTTTCAGTGTTTTGAGCAGACTAGAATTTTGACTGGCCTTTAGTACTAATGGCAAAAACAAGAGAAGGGGACGAAAACTTTTGGCAAGTGGACTCAAGAGGGCCCTGCAATGCCCTAGTGCTGCTTTCTAAACAGAAGAAGCTGGCAGTCTTGGAATCTGCTTTGGGAGTCACCTCTGAGTAAATTCTAATATGATGTGAAGAGATGAAAAGAGAAATAGTGATACACAGCTACTTACTATTCCAAGTGACAAAGAGTCAGTTGGATTCTATGTTCAGAGGAACTCAGATCTCGCCTCGTCCTACTCTTAAAAGGTCACAGGTATTGAAATTTTAGCTTCTGAGTGGAATTCAAGTAGTAAAGACAAGAATGAGAGAAAACATGAGATCCATCTGCAAAGATCTAGTATGTTGGGTATCACACTCCCTTCACGTGTTTGTGTTATTGTGTGGTTAAATAAACCCTAGTGGACATGAATGAAGATCAGCAGCAGGCCACACAGAAAAGTCAGGCATCTCCTTACCAGCACGTTGGCCTGTGGTGCTTAGTTGGTAGTATGCACTGATTTTTATGTTTATGTATTTATTTGCTGAGAGACAGCATCTCACTCTGTCACTTCATTTGTCATACTGTGCAAGATAAGTAAATGGGATAGGGTTCTAGAAGATTCTGCAGGGGGATGGAAGACAAGCCCATTTTCACTCATGGGTTAGTGTGAAAGCGTCACTCAAGTAAAAGTTCATGCCCTTGCCCTTGAATACAAAAGCAAAACTAGGGCGGTCCTGTAGGCAACCCTCTCATTTAACACAATCTGAAAGTCATACAATATTATACTTGGGTCTTCAGGTTATTTTATTCAACCAGAATAATTACATGCGGGAGCTCCCCAAACAAATAACGAGAAGTGTTACCTTCATATTAACACTGAAGAAAATTACCACATTTTTCACTTGGTTGACTAAAGGTGTGTAATTGCTATGATTCCTGCGGTACTTCCTCGCTTTTATAGTTTTTAAATATACGGCCTCATTGCTTACGCTGTTTCTATAGCAATAGTTTTTATGCATTCAAATATCTCACATATTTTCATCCTGTCCATTTAGTACTCAATGTTCGTTTCAGTGGTATTTCTCCTTGTGAAAAGCAGTCATCGAATTTTCACACAAAACCACATTAACTGAGTAAAAAATGCAACTCAGGCAATAGGGCCCCCCCACGGTGTCTTTTAAAATACAAGCCCCATCCGCAAAGGAGTAACAATGTTGTGAGCACTTGCTTTTATCGTGTGTGGCATTAGCATTTACACTCGATGCGGCCATAATGATGACTATTCTTGCTAGGTGCTATCTTCAGGGGCATGCCTGCCATCATTTACTGCCAGACATCTTGGAAGTGCCATTTCTTGAGAAACACCGAGAAGGCATTTGCCTTTAATTCTACGCACAAGCAGGAATTTTCTTATGAGCTATTTCTGCCGTTTTGCGTTGTCAAACGTGGAGGTCTTCATGACTGATTCTACTGTTTCCCCTTTGGGCTCAGCCCCAACTGAAGCCTCTAGGAAGTATTTCTCTAATAGTTGAGAACCCAAGTTCAAATACTGCCTTGACGTCAGTATTGTGTCGCAATTTCACAGCCTTTCTCAAGGGTTCATGTTCTGGGACTTAGGAGATATCTTCTATCTCCCATTCAAATCTTGTCTTGAAAGGGACACTTATGCCCTTCTCTGTGAAATGAGAATGATAAAGCGTGCAGGGTATGACAGAAAAGGACTGCTTGGGAAGCCCAATGGCTCTTCATTCAACTATGAAATACTACCTTTGCGAATGAGTCTATTTTTATGAGTCTTTTGGCTGGGACAGAAATTCTATAAGGTTAAAGCTAATAATTACAGAAGTTGTGGAATTTTATTCCAAGAAATAGTGTTAGTGGTACAGAGATGTGCAAAGCTGCCTTCCAAATCAAGAAAACTTCTCAATTGCTTGGACTGATTTTAGCATAGTCCTGCTTCTCCTAGGGAGAGAGGAACTTTGGAAAACATCAGAGTTGACCGGGAGCTGGAAGACCTGTGGTTGTTATTTGCACACAAGATTCTCCTAAAGCAATAAAAAAAAAATGATAAAACATTGCTCAGCTTTCTTTTCCAACGCCACCACTACTTACAATCAAAGAGCTGAACTGCTCCCCATTGGAGTCTGGAGTGATCTGAAGCCTTCTGCTCAGCTCCTCCGACAGCTCCTGAGGGCTGGTCCGAGACACCGGGGAGGCTGGCGGTGGGGGAAGTGCCAGACTGAGAGAGTCTCCAGTGACATTCACTTCCTCCGAAATGGTCTCCCAAGGCTTTCAGGAAATGAGACGCTGGGTAAATGCTAGGAGCTGGAGGTCCGCCCACCCTCCCCCAACAAAAACAACAATAACCATCACGATAACTATAATTAACATGCTCTGAGCACTTATCATGGGGCAATGATCACGAGGAAGATATGACTACTATCCCAATTAACAGATGAGGAAACTGAGGAACAGAGAGTCGCTTGCCCCAAGGTAACAACTCATAAGTGGCCTGGTTTCAGAGGCTCTGTTCTCTACCACCTTGCATTACCACCTCTCTGAACAGTGACTTGTTTCCAGGACGTGTTACTATGTGCACGGGCTAAAAAAATCTTCTCTGGCCGGGCTCGGTGGCTCAGCCTGTCATCCCAGCACTTTGAGAGGCCGAGGCAAGTGGATAGACTGAGCCCGCGGGTAACTTGGCGAGACCTCATCTCTACAATATCAAAAATCAGCCGGGCGTGGTAGTGCGTGCCTGTAATTCCGGCTACTTGGAAGGCTGAGGTGGGAGGATCGCCAGAGCCCAGCAGGCCGAGGCTGCACTCCAGTCTAGACGACAGAGTGAGACTCCAACTCAAAAAAAAAAAAAGCCAAAACAAAACAAAAAAAATCTCCTCCGTAGTTTATAGATGATTTTCATAAATTTTCTTCTACTCTAACAGCTAAGGACTCACCACGAAAGCCGCACAGATGCTATAAACAGTAACTAAGCAATGGTAAAAAGTAGTTTAGAGTGAATGTATTATGGAACCATTAATGGTGCTTTTCATTTTGATTACTGCAACATTTTGCGACTGATCTTCCTAACACAATGTCTAAAAAGAATGAATTTCTAGTAAGTAAACAGAGCTGATAAGACAGCATGAAAGTTAAGAATACTGCTAATTTGTTGTGTAATTCATATTTTTTTCAGCAACTGACTATACATAACCATTTAAAGGGAAAACTACAGACATTTCTCCTTCCCCAAATTTGAATTTTCTTGGTAATAAATCTCTTTCAAGGTGTCAAAGCAGCTTAGTAAAAAAACATGTGTGTGATACCTAAACAAGTTGCAGGGCTCATTCAACCACTGAAATATGACAACCTTGTCATTTAATGACAAATGGTTAGACCCTGGGGAAAAATAAATTACAAAGTGAAAACAGAAAAACAATACATAGAAAAATAATAATGTCATTCATTCTCTTTTGTGTCGCTGTAGAGCCACATGTATTTGTCAAATATGGCTTTTATAAGCACTTTCAAAATTAACTAATATGCACATGGTAACCAATTCACCATGAGACCACAATCTTTGCATGCTTGACCACGTTTACCGAGAGAAGAAATTTTGACACGAAATCACCCTGGAGAATGTGGGAAGAGTGAGTTGCGGAGTTTGCAGCGTTTTGGGGATGTCATACCTCGGGGACATCTCCGCCTTCCGAAGGCTCGGGCTCCAAGTCCTCACTGATGTGTCGGCGCGAACGGAACCGCCTGTGTGCTGCCTCCTGGTTGATCTGTCTGATGTTATTGTCCGACTCGGAAGACACATCCCTGAGAGCAGCAGGTAAGGGGGACCAGGAAAAGGAGGGAAAGCGGGTGAGAAATAGCATCATCAAATACCGACAACTGATCACCCAATGTGAGACTTCTTCTACTGCATCTTGGCTAAAGTACTGGCCGAGGTTCGCTCCAATCAAATAAATGCAGCTTGCAAATGCATCCGTTACACCATTTTGAGGAACTTTCAGGCATACATTTCAAAATGTGCCTTAGTATTTAAGAAAGAACAGAAATCAAGGTCCTCCACCTATCTGACACAGTGACAAGTCAGGCCTCTAGGAAGAGAGGTGACAGGCAAGCCCACACATGTGATCTGTCAATTGCCACCCTTCTAGGCGTCTAGTATGACCAGGCAGCTACGTCTGGTCATCGGAAATTGGTCAAACACTACCAACGTGACAAATTCAAAGTTGCCATGTGGATGGAAGTCCTCCTGATCTGACATGAATTTTTCGGCTGCTTTCGATCTCATTTTGACAGAATCTCAAAATCATGACACTTCATATCCCCTATTCACCTCCTTTTAAAAATGCAAATAAACATCAGGAGATAACCTCCAAATCAACTGGGATCTAAAGAATACCACAACATCATACCCTATTTCTTGTCACAGAATGCTCTCAATTCACAATTTGAAAGCATTGATTCAATTCTGAAAACTTTTTGTCCTGCCAACTGCCCTTTGGGAGACGGCCTAGTCAGAGACCTTTAGGGTCTAAGTTTAAACGCCAAAATGTTTTTCAGAGAAACCTTTCAATAGATACTTTCAATAGGACACGAAGCTGGGTGTGGTGGAGGCTCAAACCTGTAATCCCAGCACTTCGGGAGGCCAAGGAGAGAGGACTGCCTGAGTCCAGGGGTTCAACACCAGCCTGGGCAACTTGGTGAGACCTTGTCTCTACAATAAATGAAAAAATTTGTCAGGCATGGTAGCACATGCCTATAGTTCAAGCTACTTGGAAGGCTGAGGCAGAAGGAACACCTGAGCCCAGCAGGTCGAGGCTATAGTGGCCGTGAGCGTGCCACTGCATTCCAGCCTGTGTGACAAATTAAAAAAAAACAAACAAAAAAACGCCATATTCGGTTACCAACAAATATGTTACAAGCTATTATCTCAGAATAGTTGAAAACTTTATTTCAGGCTAATTAAAATATACTATTAATCAACAATTCTCATTACAGATTCTTTCTAAACACATTGCTTTCTAAAAGTTTTCTAATACATTCTCAAACTGACTTATACTAGATTCCAATAAAGAGCCTGCTAGGCCCCTGGGATAACAAATAGTCTGAAACTAACAGCATTGCTAATAAATGGGCAATTCTTTAACACTAGTTTCCAAGTAGTTTAAGTATTTTTACTAAACATCTTTACACCATTAACTTTACCAGTAAAGTCAGCAGTGTGAAGGTTCACTTTTTTACAATCCACATTTAAATTATAATTCCTTATTAAAATCTGAATAAATGAAGTTGTATTTATTTCTCTGCACATCCAATATAAACTTCTGCACTCTAACAGAAATACATATTCTGCATATCTTGCTATATTGAACTGTAACTAGATTAAAATAGTACAATAAGCAAACAGAAGTATCTTCAGAAAAACTGACATAATTATGACCGCAGAAAAAAATAATTAAAATAAAGGGACACATATGTGTACCTATAAAATTCTGAACCACAAAACGGATTCACTAAAAATGATAATCCACTGGAAATGTTAGAAAAATGTAATATTGTATCTGGGATTTTATGTTGCCACAGTAATTTTTATATGACACTGAATTAAGCACATAATGATTATAACAACTATAAGTCATCACAGAACAGAAAAAATTTGGGAGGAAAATGATCAGAATATATTAACGAAATCCATAAACCATCTCAGTAGTGTCTAAGAAGGTAAACAAAGCTACATGGTACCTTCCACCATTTTGGATTAAAACTGAAAGCAATTTCACTTTACAACATGCAGCCTCACTTGAAAACAGTCCATATACAAGAGTTTCACCAAAATCTGAAAGTGTCCCTTGAAATATCAGTTATGGCTTTTTGTTCAGTCAACACTGAGGACTAGCCTTTGTAGGCCTACTATGTGCCAGGCACTATAAGAGGTGCTTAAGAATATTGTTTTACTATTACTATGTCTGCATTTCATGTCCTTTAGAGTACATACAATAATTTGTATGTAATTACTGTACAAATAATTTAAAATAATTTATTTAATTACACAAATAAAAATAATTAAGCAAACACATACAAAATTATACAAATAAATAAAAATAATTATACAAAAGATAAAATAATTTAAAGATTATACACAAATAATTTAAAATAATTTATTAAAAGAAAATAATTTAAGAAATGGCTGCTTTAATTTTTTCATTCATTAATTTTCACATATACATTCTTCCTTTGAATTCCATGGGAAATATACAAATAATAAAAAAGAAAACCATCAATTTATCAAAAAATCAAACTCAGTGCCAGTTAAAATCATTTACAATACATCAGCTGACTGTATTGATGACCTGATTTATCAAGATACTCTTAAATTATTAATTTACTACTAAGACAAGAGAAGATGTACAGAGTGTTCTATAATAAAAAGGATGAAGACAAGAGAGTTGACATTTGAAGAGAGTTGACATTTGAAGAGGAAAAGGGCAAATCTAAAATGAGGGGTGCTCTAAAAGCTACAATCAGACTTGAGAGGGCTGGAGTTCTTCTAGGACCACCCTCTGGCCCAGTGTTCTGCGTCTAGGCCCAAACTCAGCCTGGACGGTTCACTAAATCATGAACCTATAATCACGTCATCCATTTGAAAAGCATTTTGCCGAGTTCCTACTTTGTGCCAAGCAGGAGGGGCAGACCCAAGAATAATAAAAACAAGGTCAACCTCATCTCTACAATAAATTTAAAAAATCAGCCAGGCGTGGCAGCGCACGCCTGGAGTTCTGGCTACTCGGAAGGCTGAGGCGGAAGGTTCGCCGGAGCCCAGTGGGTCGAGGCTGCGGTGGCTGGGAGCAGCCACTGCACTCCAGTCTGGGCGACCAAGTGAGACTCCAACTCAAAAAAAAAAACAAGGTCCCAGCCCAATCTGCGCTCTGTGCCAGTCCAGGGGAAGCACCAGGCATTTGGGGAGACCAGGACAGAAGAGGTGTGGATCCCCGGCAGAAGGTCTGTTAGCTGAGGCATGACGTTGGCCAGGGGAAGGAGCGTGTTCTGGGTTTTTGCTTTTTGTTTTGGGCAAAGCAGTACTACAGGTCCCCAGGACTCAGGCACAAGAGACAGTAAGCAGAAAGCACGTGTGCATGATGGGGTCATGGGTTGAACTGTTTTCTTACGACAGTGGGTGGCAAGGCCAGCAGAAGGCAGGGAGAAGAAGGACCTTGTACAAACTTCCTGAAGGCAACGGGAAGCCCATGACAAAGCAAAACCCACTGTTTTCAGTGGGCTGAAATGTGGGGCACAAGACTGCAGCAAACTGGGTAAGAATGAGCGTCACCAACGTAGTCTCAATTCTTTATTTAAACACATGGGAATCACTACCCGATTTTCTCAGCCTTTAAGTAAAGAAATTGCTGCCTACATCAATTTTCCTCTAGCAGCATTCTGTAAAACTGAATTATGAAACAAGTTACTTTCGAATTCAAACAATTCTCCAAAATAATGTGGGAGGGCTTCTGGCCAAGGCAATAAAGTTAAGGAGAAAGAACCCTAAACTGGTAAACAGTGCAGATGGGAGGAAGAGGTTGTTGTTGAACTTGACTCTTCCTTAACTAACTTTCCTCTTGCTTTCTAGAAGTCCCTCCCACTGGAAAAGAGGCGCTCCTGTGAGCCACTGAGTTCTGCCAGTGTCTTTCCTGGCTCAGCCTCTCCCTTTGACGTTGTTGCCTCACTGATGGGGACAGTCATGTCATTGACTTCTCCCTAAACTGCATGTGAATCTGAACTTGGATTAAGAATACTTTCCCCTTGGTGCCCTGGATGAGTGAAGAGCCAGTATCATGAAAGTTGTATCTTTTGTTCTGGTTCTTCAGACGGTATCTTTTCTAAACCATATTATGGAACCTGACCAACACATAAAAATCTATGTATGAAATATGCACATCTTGATGAGTTTGGGGATAAGTACACACGTGTGAAACCATCACAGAGTATATTTTTAGACCCGCCTGGGCAGCAAGAACTCATCTCTACAGTAAATCAAAAAATCAGCTGGGCGTGGTAGCGCATGCCTGTAATTCCAGCTATTCGGAAGGCTGAGGCGGAAGGATCGCCGGAGCCCAGCGGGTCGAGGCTGCGGTGGCCGGGAGCGGCCACTGCACTCCAGTCTGGGCGACCGAGTGAGACTCCAACTCAAAAAAAAAAAAAAAAATCTCCAGTGTTTTTTCAGGAATTCCCTTATTAGAGTTTCACAACTCTGTAAGGTAGAGAAAGTAGAAATTATCTCCATTTGTCCTTCAGATACAGACTTCAATCTGTATGATATTGATGAAGTTGAATATTTTTCCATGTATGTATTATCTATTGGTATTTCTTCCCTTGTGATTGCTCCTAGTCACTTTTCTGCAGAGGTGACAGGATGCTCTGGTCACCACAGCATCTACCTTTTCAGGTACTTCTCTCTTATGCTGTTCAGCAGAGGTAGATAAGGGTGCTCTGCTTAGGATATTGCTACTGAGATTTTTCTGACCACTACATGTAAATCACTAAATGTAAACAAACCCAAGAGGGTCCAAAGTCATTTTTACTACAAATAGCTCTAATGGTCTACAACAGGTTTTTTTGTTTTGTTTTGTTTGTCAGTCGGCATCTCACTTTGTTGCCCAGGCTGGAATGTAGTGGTGCGATCACAGTTACTGCAGGCTTGACCTCCTGGGCTCAGGTGATCCTTCCACCTCGGGGTCCTGAGTAGCTAGGACTACAAGCATACACCACATGTCTCATTTAATTTTTTGATTTTTTATGTATTTATTTTTTATTATTATTTTTTTTTTTTGAGTTGGAGTCTCACTCTGTCGCCCAGACTGGAGTGCAGTGGCCGCTCCCGGCCACCGCAGCCTCGACCTGCTGGGCATCCCAACTCAGCCTTCCAAGTAGCTGGAATTACAGGCATGCGCTACCACGCCCGGCTGATTTTTTGATTTATTGTAGAGATGAGGTCTTGCTGCCCAGGTGGGTCTCGAACCTGCAGGCTCATGCAATCCACTCACCTCAGCCTCCCAAAGGCGCGGGATTACAGGCTGAGTCATGATTTTTTTTAAGAGACAAAGTCTTCAGTACCAGGCTGGTACTGAACTTCTGGGCTCAAATGATTCTCCTGCCTTGGCCTTCCAAAGTTTTACGATTACAAGTGTGAGCCACTGTGCTCAGCTGGCCTGCAACAGTTTTAACAGCTATGGTCATTAATCAAAAGGAGATGGTAAAAAAAAATAAAATAAAATAAAAAAGAAGAAACTAAACCGTTTCCATTTATATTTCTATAGGAAAAAATCTTAACAAAAGATGGCTCAAAATGTGGTACAAAATGTGGTACATGTACACGATGGAATACTACACAGCCATAAAAAAGAACAAAATCATGAATTTCGCAGCAACCTGGATGGAACTAGAGTCTATAATACTGAATGACCTCTCACAGAAACAAAGATCTGAGTATCACATGTTCTCACTCATATAGCAGACCTTGAACATCCAACGTAATACTGTAAGAAAAGGATCGACAGTGGTAGGAAACTATGGGGCGTGGGGAGGGGAAGGGAGGTGAGATTAACGGTGGTCAATATCTCTCTGGGGACGGGGAGATACCCCTTATCAACAAATATCAAATATGCCTGAACAAAGCATATTTGTATACCTAACCCTTAACTGTACCCCACAATATCAAAATAAAAAATACTGATTTAAAAAAAAATACTGATTAAAAAAAAAAAAAAAAAAAAGATGGTTCAACATTACCCAAATGTTGGTATTTTTGCCATCCTGGGACAAGTCCAAAGCTGACCAGGGACAGGTGATATTTGCAACAACCCTCCTGGGGACCTAGGGGGGTATCTATTCGCTGTTCCTGATTCTGTAAGCTTTGTCTCAAAGTTAAACAAAGCCTAGACCAGATGACCTGGCCATTTTCTCTACACGCAGCCATATGTAGAGTATCTTTAAAAAGGTTATTAAGAACACCATCCAAACTATTAATACTACTTGTCTAAAATGCATCGCTGGCAAATTTCTTTCAGAGTGTCGGTTGAAGAAAAAATTCTTACCTGATATACGTACTTTTATTACATATTGAAAATTATATAATTCAGGTAGTCACCTCCTTATCTTGGCTGCTGGGAAGCTCCTAATTTCCTTTTCCTCAATACTATGTTTTTGCCCTTTAATGAAAATCAGTAGATTTAGGTCTTGCTGCATCATATGATTTAACAACAAGCTGCTGCAAAACCATTTTTATAGCAGCTGAGGTTTCACAAGTATATATTTGCTATCAAACCACAAATTGCCGAGGAAACAAAACGATAATCAGTTTACTGTATCCCTGAGGCTGACGATGGAGTAAAATAAAGAGTAATTGCAAATTCTGGTTTTGTAACCAATCCATGTGTTTCCAATTATATTGAGGGGGTAAAATTTCCCCAACAAAGAACAAATAAAGGCTTTCAAGAGGGTTTCCAGATCAAATAACTGAAGAGAATAAAAATCCACTGCTTTCGGTTCTGGGTCAGGAAGGAGAGAAAAACAAAGAGGAAGAAAACACAAAATAAGTCTAAAAAAGTAGCCTCTGCTTCATAGTTCAGAAATCTATGTAAAGGCATACAGAATGAACAGTTCACACTGAAAACTGCATCACGTGATGCCAAGCCGACAGCTATCATCCTTTCAATATACAAATGCTAGTCGCTCTTATGTTCTTTATCTAAATGGAGAGGAATCTTGTACCACACAACGGTCTACTCTTACTGATGTACTATTCATTTTCCAACCTGGCCCCAGGGGTTGGCGTGTTTGTGCAGAGCATGACCCTGGGTTCCTGACCACCGCGCAGTACTTACATCAAGCTTGGTCGGTGCCACTGAGTGGTCCGGTTGTTGTGGTTCACATAGTAAGTTCGGCCCAAGTTATCCACTTTTTCTTCCCACCCGGGAGGCAGAGGAGGAGGAGGAAGCTCTTCCTGGTGCTGAGAAGCTGAGTCATTCGAGTCAACCACTTCCCATCCATGCTGCGGAATAAAGTTCAAGAGAAGATTATGAAGCTGGTTCTTCAGCTACAAGGAAAAGACAGTCCCAGTGTGTTCTGTGGACCCTTCCTCCTTGCTCTGGTGCACTCTGGCTTTCGCAAGGGCTTCGTGTGCCACATGTGAATCCATTCCCAAAAGGGGGCGAAAAAACCCAAACAAAGCATTCTAGAGGGTCTGAAAAATCTTTTGACCAGTGTCAATGAACCGTGCAGCCTTCTAAGATGACCACATGGCAGGAAGCAAGACCGATTTGGATGTGCATAGTTGGTTAAGTTACTGAAGTCACATCATCCTCTTTTCATATTTCATGTTTGTTATTTTGACTTGAAGAACTCCAGAGCTCTACAAAGTCGTGCCAACGACATGGGTCACGTTACAGCTGTCCTCTTTTCAACACCTCCATGAGGTAACAGGGAACAGGGAAGATGAGCTGCGTCGCACATGTGTTCAAACAGAAATCAGGGCTGGGTGACCAGGAGGCCCAGGGCCCTGTGGCTTCCCAGGGAGGCCGGCTTTGAGGAGGTGAAGCCTCCTCTCCGCATCTATCACAATCACAGGAGCCAGAAGTCTGGAAACTTCTGCTGTCCACTGAGGCTCTCCACACTTTGCTACACCCATATCAGCAGGCCCCATGGTACCAGAGTTCATTTCCGCACTGCATATTTGAGGCATTAAGTATTCCTTTCCTAACGCCCCCCCCCCGGTAAAATCACTGGAAAATTAAGTAATTCACTGGTTACTGCAGTTGGAAGGCAGGAAGAGTGTAAAAAATTCCTTGGATTTGAGATAAAAATCTGTTGACGTGCTTGTGAAAGCTTAACAGTCCTAACTGTCCACCACCCACTCCACTCCTCTTCACATCGACAGAGATGGCAGCTGACAGCAGAAGCACTGCCTGGAACCATGACGCCCTGGACGGAGGGGGGGTTCGGTGAGCTTGCTGGCAGTGCATTACTCACGTACCGCGTACACGCAACAGCTGCAAACAGATGTGAGAGCCGGCTCCAGAGAGGCTTTGTTTAATGGCCACTTTGAGAGCAATATGAGAATTTGCCCAACAAAACAGCATGGTCTGAGGCGTGTGCCAACAAGGAATGACGGGACCCATGGCATCAGTCTGTGCCCAGGAAGTTAAAAGGCAGCTGCGCCAGGGGGGGTAAAAGGGACATTCCTCTGGTCAGCTCATTTCAGGATGGCATTTCTTTTCTTCTTTTTTTTTTTTGAGTCGGAGTCTCACTCTGTCACCCAGACTGGAGCGCAGTGGCCGCTCCCGGCCACCGCAGCCTCGACCCGCTGGGCTCCGGCCATCCTTCCGCCTCAGCCTTCCAAGTAGCTGGAACTACAGGCGCGCGCTACCACGCCCGGCTGATTTTTGATTTATTGTAGAGATGAGGTCTCGCCAAGTTGCCTAGGCGGGTCTCAAACCTGCGAGCTCAGGCAATCCCCTCACCTCAGCCTCCCAAAGGCGCGGGATTACAGGCTGAGCCACCAAGCCCGGCCCAGAATGGCATTTCTAGAGGAGCACTTTTCTATTGCTGGCTGTCGCCTTTGGGTCAAACGAATAAGAAACTAGGAAACAAGTGTATCCTCTTAAAACCAAAGCCAATGAATACAGTGGCAGATACCAAAGACAGATGTGTGGATATACCTCCACCTTTTTCATTACTTGAGCTTTGTAGGTTTTTATTTCCTTCCGTGATAAAGTCTTAAAGTATAATGTGAATCTGAACTGAAGTAAGGAAACCAGCCTGAGGCTGGAAGTCTCTCCACGTACCTCCAAATCATCCCTCTGCTCGCTGTTTTCGTCATCTTGACCTCCATTTTTCGGCATATAGGCCATTTTCAGCCGCAGAAATCCCTTCACTCGAGACTTATGACTGCATGGTGGAAGAACGTTGGTTACAAAGGACATGACTTGAAAGGTGACATCTCTCATGTTTATGGGGACAGTTGAGGCCGTTCGCTGCAACCTGCAGGACAGCCATCCCCGCCCACCCACATCCTCAAGCCTCACCTTCTTGGTCTGAGGAGAAAGTCCTTAAATGTATAGGGTCGCTCCATGGTTGGATCTTCTGTCTGTGGGGAGAAAAAAAAAATTAAGTTTCAAACATTCTGGATAATGCCGTGCTTTAGATATCTCAAGCTAGATTATGGAGAATATGCTTTGTATTTGAGAGCATGGCACCGGTGAAAAATAAGTTGCTGGTTCCTCAACTGGTATTGGACACTAACCAAACATTTGACAGGCGACAGAATTTATCTACTCGAGATCCACTAGAGGTCACTATCCACATCAGGTTTTAGGAGCCAATCACAGCCCCAGACAAATGACAAAATTATAGCTGCCACTGCCAAGTGTAATTCCTATCAGTAGGGTGTGGCTAGTCTCACAGAGTTGATTAACTCTGGCAAGCCAGTGGTCATAGGAGCCTTGCTATATCCCCACAACTTGAGAAACCGGAAAGCAGTGTAAACAGAAGAAGATGCAAGACCCAATTTTTGAAGGCAACTTTCTTTTCCACATTAAAATATCACATCATCAGCCTAAGGTAACTGAAAGATTATCTCTTGCCCTGAGATCACACCAGGGAGCACCACCAATCAGCCTTCTGCTGGGGATTTGGTTCATAAAGCTTGGAGGGCAATCGGGATATCTGTTCATTTGAAAAGAAATCAGTATTAATTTCATTGTGTGAAAGAGGCTGGCCAAACAAAGCAAGAAATTGGAAAAATAAGCATTATGATTTCAATAATTTTAAAATACTATATGTGGTAAAACCTCAATTACATTCAATTACACACAATTTCAAATACTATTATAGCAGGAGAGATACACCCCAGTTCAATGATTTACTTCTTCATCAGGTGTGCAGGTATGTGCATGTGTGTATGTCTGCATTTACATTTGAAATGCTATCTGTTTATGCCAGAACACCCAGTGGTGCTCTCCGCCTCTCATAATAAAATGGAAATTCTTTCCCATGACCTAAAAGGTCAGCTCTAAGCTGGCTTTTAATGACCGTTAGCCTCACTGTGAGCCAGTGTCGCTGTTCCCTCCTGATTCTCCCACCATCTTGGCCTCATCTGCCATGTGTACAAATCTCAACTAACACCGTCATGGCGCCGGTGCACTGGGAGGTCCCTCTGCTGGACGGCTGTGACTGCAAACATCACGGTGCCTCCACTTCACCATGCAGGTGTGAGATCCCAGGTCCCAGTGTCAGAGTTCTCACCCTGCTCGCCCCCTATTGTATTACCCTGCGTTATTTTCCCCATATCATTATCTGAAGGCACTTTGTTCATTTGTTTATTTGCTAGTTTATCACCTATCACTTCTAGAACATAACCCCTACGTTCATTTGCTTATTTACTCCTTTATCACCCATCACTTCTAGAACATAACGCTTAAGATGGGAGACTTGAATTTGCTCGCCATTGTGTTGTGGGTGCCAGGAACACTGCCTGGCGCTAAGTGGACACTCCTTTAAGTAGCTGCCTAATTCATTTGATCTACAGTAAACTGATTAGGCCCTTGAAAAAATTCACTGAAGGCAGGCAATGATATTCTCTAAACCAGGGGTCCCCAAACCATGGGCCATGGAATGCTACTGGTCTGCCGCCTGTTAGGAAACCAGGTCACACAGCAGGAGGTGAGATGCAGAGGAGTGAGCAAAGCTTCATCTGAATTTACAGTCACTCCTCACTGCTCTCCTGGCCATCTGAGCTCCGCCTTCTGTCAGGTCAGCAGGGGCATTAGAGTATCACAGGAGTGAGAACCCTATTGTGAACTGCCTGGACAAGGGACCTAGGTTGTGCAAAGCTTATGAGGTGGCACCGCTGAGGTAGTGAGGTTTGATGACACAGAGACCTAAATAGATCATTTTCTTGCCGACTCCTATCAAAACCCTATCAGTGAGCGGCAAGTGAGTCGATGGGCTTCAGTTGTACAGCTGCATCTAGTGGCAGGCTTGAAGTCACAACCTGACACTTATTTTAGTCTACGAGTGGCCTACCCATGATTTTATTTACCACTTCCATCCGTACTTTTTAAATAAAATAATGAACGGTATAATTATTTCATTATATGTTGCAAATGTAATAATAACAGAAATAAAGGGCATAATAAATATGAAGTGCTTGAATCATCCTGAAATCAACACCCCCAACTCTGTGGAAAAACTTCCATGAAACCACTTCCACTGAGGTCCTTGATGCCAAAAAGGTTGGGGATGATTGCTCTAGACTGTTCTTATGAGGCAGTAATACACTTATCCATCTGGGAAATATTTTCTACCAAAAAAAAGTTTCCAGATATAAATGACTTACAACAATTATTCACTAATCAAGACAATGAGTGCTGGTTTTCTATTTTGAAAAAACGTATTTAACCAACACAATTTCAGAGCAATACCACGTGGATACTACAACACGGTCCCTGGGCTTAACAAGGACAACCATGTGGGAAGGGCTATCATATCAATATTCCACGAGAAGGGAAGGCAGAACAAATTCACGCCACCGGGGGTGACATTCCACGAGACTTGGGGTGACTGATTCTAACGTAAGGATCAAAACGGTCTCTGGATGTGTATTCTAATCCAGGATGAATGGGAAGGTTTTGATAGGTGGAGAAGGGGGAAGGAAGAACAATTTAAGCGGAGGAAATCACACGGCACGAGCAAAGCCTGCAGGATCATTGGTGGGCACGAGGGATCTAGAAGCAAGAGAGAGTACGCAAGAGTGAACAGAGAAAACCGCAGAGCTGAGAACTACTCTGAGAGTGACTCTGTCCATACATTGTGCAGCTTAAAGGACTTATGCTAACACACATCAACAGGTAGATACCTTAAGTCTGTGTCGCAGCTTTAAGATTCTCAGAGCTCTGTGGCCAAGTTCCTCATCTACTCTCTGTGCCTCATCTCTAAAATGGGGCAGTGACTGTATTGTGTAAGGTTGTTATAAGGATCAAACCAGCCAAGTGCTTACGACATCAAGACTTCACAAGGGTTCCTGGCACGCTCAACCATTACCATAATCAGCGCTACATGTTCACATCATTTGTACGGCCAACTCGTTTATGCCAAACAGTAACAGGCAGGGCATGAAAAATGAAAGTTAATGGACATTCTGCAGCCCGAACAAGAAGCTGCTCTTATAGATAATCACAAGATTCTTCTTGGCACTCATTCAGATGCCCACCTGACCGTGTTCCCTGGAGCAAAGCTAAGTGGAGACTTCTAGGATGGCACCGAGGGTGTTCCTGGTAGAAAGTCGTTTCCAACAGATTGATGTGAACAGTACTGTTGGCCAAAATAACCACAATGCTGCCTTCTGTCCCAGGGTGGGAGCATCCCAATGAAAATCTTTTGGATTCACAGTGCTTTCACTTTAAAGAAAATAGTTGTTTTCAGCACAAGTGTAGTCACTATGATGTGGAGTAAGAGAAATAATTGTGCAGGCAAAAGGAAGGAGAAGCTGAGCTCGGGGGCTCGCCTGTAATCCCGCACTTTGGGAGGCTGAGGTGAGTGGATTGCCTGAGCCCGCGGGTTCGAGACCCACCTGGGCAACTTGGCGAGACCTCATCTCTACAATAAATCAAAAAATGAGCCGGGCGTGGTAGCACGCGCCTGTAGTTCCAGCTACTTGGAAGGCTGAGGCAGAAGGATTGTTAGAGCCCAGCCGGTCGAGGCTGCGGTGGCCAGGAGTGGCCACTGCACTCCAGTCTGGGCAACAGAGTGAGACTCCAACTCAAAAAAAAAAAAAAGGAAGGAAGGAGAAGGCCTCCAGACTCAACACCTGGATGCAACCACCAGAAACTCCCAAGATTCAGAAGAAGCCTGCCCCCCATGCCCTGGACCATGCCACAGGCACACACTGATGGCTGGGTCCAGCACAGCCACCAACCTGCTGATTGTCAGGCAAGTCACTCCCCTCTCTGGGCCCAGGTTTCCCCACCTGGAACACACTGGGAGTAAACAAGTGTTTTAAAGGTTATGTGATCCTGAATTCAGTGCCCATGAGACGGAACCATTCTGCTACCGGCCATCAACACGGGGGGTGCAAAAGGATGGTGCTCCCGTGAGTTACCTTCAAGTCAGGATGTCAAACAATAGCACCACGCTGAAGATGTCTCGCTCTAGGAAAACCAAAATTCAAAAGGGAGCCACGGTTGGGTTAAGCAGTCCTAGACTAAGACAGGGGAAAACTAATATTTGTAAAATAGCTCTCTCTGCCCCAGAGCCTTTCCCACAGATGCAGGGACTCTACAGTCTGGCAGAGGTGCGGATTCTGGGGGCTCCAGGGGCGAAAGAGACACAAAGGATCAGGGAAGAGGAAGGGATCAGCTCAGAGGTGCCACAGGCAGATACCTGCCAGAAACTGCATTGTGTTTTGGGATAAGATCAGACCAAGAACACCATTCTGCTCTTTATGAATGGGAGGGGAACAGAACCAGGAGGAAATTGGGATGTTACTCTCATTTTGGTGCCTATAAAACCCGCCAGACTCTCAAAATCAGGATTCTACTATGACAGTCCCTAATCCCATGGCCCAGGAGACACCACATTGCAAAACTTTAAATAAAAGGACTACCAAAGAAACAAACAAACAAATGAAATTGCATTGTGCTGTTAATGCAAGTCTTAGAGGTATTTGTCCCCCTAAATGACTAGTAGATGCACGTTATCCTGTATGAACTTTCAAGCAATGATGCACTGAATTTGGCAAACCATAGTGAAAACAGTAGTTGAAAAAAATTAGCAATAATTGTCGTTGCAGCCAAGCTTGCTCTTGCATCCCAATAAAAAGTAAAACGGGGAGCTACACTTAGGCCACAGCATAGGCGTCAGGTTGGCAGGACGGCGACCTTTTAAATGACAGTCTCTCATCTCTCACCATCCCCAGTGCCTCACACTGGCCTTATCTCCTAGGCAACACGGATGTCAGCATGATCGCTGGAGCCTCTGTTTGGTGAATATTCTATCCCTGCGCTGGTTGGAAACTTGGTATTTCCTATGCAAATACAGAGAACACAGAGGCCCAGAGAGGAATGCTAACTTCATTAAGGTTACCCAGGCAACTCAGGCATCTCCCAGATGGAGTCAACAACTCCCAGTGGCTAAGTCCCCTCTTTCAAAGCTGGATCTTCGGGGGACTTCTGAGGGCACGATTCTGTGTTTTCCAGTGCCCTGATCTGCACAAAGGGTTAGCTACCAACACCCACTTCTCTCTCCAGCCCCCTTCCTCCTCTTAGCGTCCTTCACAGTTAAATAAAATGGAAAATCAATATTAAAGACGGGCAGCTAACCAGGAATAAAAGCAAAGGAAACAGAGGTCCCTACTGCTTCTAGACGCCTCATGGCCTCTTTTTCATCCATCTTTTCTCCCACGAATAAAACTGGGATGATTGAGTCTGAGGGTCAAGAACGACCAAGAATCCAGTCCCAACGTCATTTTCTTTCGTCTGGAAGCATCAAGTACAAAACGCTGAAGCATCACAATGGAAGGGTAAGAAGAGGCTTACTTTCTCATTGTCACTCTTTCCTCTTTCCCCCTTAGGCTCTAACGACGGAGCTAGCATTGGCTTCTTCCAGCTACTGCAGCTGAGGATTGAGGTTGGGACGTGCAGAGGGTGCCTCCCTTCCAACTACTCTCCCTTCCCTGCCCTGCCTCTCCAGGCCAGACAAGGCCCAGCTGGGTACTAAACCAAACCAGGTACCCAGCCCTTGGCAGCGGACTGAGGAGGTATGTGGTCTCAGGGCCAGATGCCCAAGTGCCCATAACCAACATGTCTCCACCCAAGGCTCTTGCTCAGTGGGCCTTGAGAGGTGAGAATGCTCTGACCTGCTTGTCTGTCAGGGGTCCCTGGCTTCTTTGGGCCAAGGAATGTGTGACTGGAAATAAGGAACAGCTGAAGAGAGCCAAGCCTAAGAATTCAGAAGCCAGATTTTACACCATAAACACCAATACCTATTAGCAACTGCGTCAACAGACCGCTAGAATTCCAAGTTAGGGTTCTTCAGCAAACATCAACTACTAGGTAGACAATGTTTTTCAAAAACACACGTGCAAAAAACACCAAATATAATATTTAAATTTCTACAAATAATTTCCTGACAATCACAAGAGATTACACTAACTTTAGCTCTTCAGTCTTAACTCTTGTCTCCCAAGTTTCTCATTTAGATAAGAAGAGTTCTATTCAATGATGCAACATTTGCAGACCAGAATCAAGGTAGAGATCATTTGTTTTTAAAGGAATAGAAGTCCAGAATATCACGGGCATCAAGCTAATGCCTCACTCCTGGTTTTAAGTGATTTATAATAAATAAGTGAATATGTGAATACTGTGTATACATCAACATGAAGGAATGGCAATGAAGTATCTTGCCAATACAGATTTTTCAAAATAATAACATAATTAGTTATCTTCATCTTGATTTCTGTGAGTCCAAATTTTGAATAATCAAACACCCCATCGGTGTTCTTGAACCTGAGGGCTGGCAGACTGGCAAGGACAACTTCACACCAAACACCACACTCCATATCCCACCCTTCAGTATTAATAAGATGATTGGGGTATTTTTATATCTTCACGTCTCTCCTCTGGTTTTCTTTTGGGTCACTTCCCTCGCCGTAGTTGACTCCAAAAAGTGAGTCAATTTTAAGTATTGATGGGAGTGTAAATTAGTACAACCTCTACAGAAATTAGTGTAGGGATTTCTCAAAGAACCAAAGGTAGCAGGGCATGGTGGCTCATGCCTATAATCCTAGTACTTTGGGAAACAGAGGTGAGAGGACTGAGCCCCGGGGTTCAAGACCATCCTGGGTAACTTGGCAAGACCTCGTCTCTACAACAAATCAAAAAATTAGCTGGGTATGGTGGCGTGCAACTGTACTTCCAGCTCCTTGAAAGGCTGAGGTGGAAGGATCACCTGAGCCGGAAGGATCACCTGAGCCCAGCAGGTTGAGGCTGCAGTGGCCATGAGCAAGCCACTGCACTCCAGCCTGGGTGACAGAGTGAGACTCTGGCTCAAACAAACAGATGAACAAACAAGAACTAAAAGTAAGTATACCATTCAATCCAGCAATCTCACTACCCAAAGAAACAGAAGTTGTGATACCAAAAAGACAAGTGCCCACTCATATGTTTATTGCAGCACAATTCACTACTGCAAAGGTGTGCTATCAACCTCAATGCCCATCAACTGATGAGTAGATGAAAATGTGTTATTTATATTTATACACACACACACACACACACACACCCACCCCATGGAATACTACTCAGCCATGAAAATAATAAAATAATGTCTTTTTCAGCAACCTGTATGGAATTGGAGACCATCATCCTAGGTGAAGTAATACAGGACCAAAAAGCCAGACACCGCATATTCTCACTTATAAATGGGAGCTGAAAAAACAGAGAGAATGTCAAAATGAACACTGGAGACACAGAAGCAGCAGGAGGGATGAAAAGATCACCCAATGGTTGGGCATGGTGGCTCAGGCCTCTAATCCCAGCACTTTGGGAGGCTGAGGTGAGGGCATTGTCTGAGCTCACGGGTTCAAGACCACCCTGAGCAACTTGGTGAGACTTCACCTCTACAATAAATCAAAAAATTAGCTGGGCGTGGTGGCTCATGCCTGTAGTTCCAGCTACTTGGAAAGCTGAGGTGGAAGGTCGAGGCTGCGGAGGCCATGAGTGTGCCACTGCACTCGTCTGGGTGACAGAGTGACTCCAACTCCAAAAAAAAAAAAAAGAAGGAAAAATCACCTATCAGGTACAAAGTGCACAGGTAGGGGGTTGGGGTGGGAACACTAAATGCCCAGACTTCTGGCCATTATACAATGTATCCACGTAACCAAAAACTATTTGTATCCCCTAAAGCTACAGAAATGTTAAAAAAAGTTGTTAATACTGACATGACAGCATTCCAGTGAAGCTCATCTTCGGGCATACGCGAAATCGGGAAGGTCCACGACTCAAAGGACTCAGCATCTCTCTGGGCCCTCATTGTCCCATTCTTTTTCACCCACTAGTTTCCATTCTAGTCCTGAGTCTCCACACCACTTCCTTCTTTTGAAGGCTCACCGACTCTGCCTCCAAAATCCAAAGTTGAACTATTGCCTCTTACTGACTTGGTCTCTGAAGAGGAACATTCTTCTGTTCTCTGGGAGCCCTGTACAATCTTTCAAAACCAATCACCACTCGATGACTCAAACACAGGCTTGTTGGAGCAAGGTTAAAAACTTTTTTCACTTTTGTCTCTTAGAAAATATTAGTAAATACTTTCCCCTGGCCAAGATGTGGTTGTTGCCTTAGGAAAAGGGCTGCAGACATCCATCAGAGAACTGGCCAACCAACCAACGTTGTCTAAAAGCATGAGGACAGCCTCAACCGGAGGAACATAACCAGAAGACCTGCTGATACAGACACATGTGAAGAGTATTTACTGCAAATCTTGAAACAGTCAGACCCCCTCACTGTGACCTGACAAGAATAATCGAGCTTTTGATGGCTCATGGAATGGGTCTCATAAAGAAGCCCCATGCAGACACACACAAGCACCCTCTGATGGCACCCTGGAGCTGCAAGTTTTTATATAGAAAAAACAAAACAAAACAAAATTATTTTAAGGGTATTACTTTCGCTTCCAATTCTTTGGAAGAGAATGCACTTGAAACCTTTCTTTCTTAATAGCTCCCCTGAGTAAGAATAAATTGCTTGCTATCACATTCCTACACAACACATTTTCGAAGCCTCCTTGGTAAGATGCTGTCTTTCTGGGTAGCTAATATATGGAAACAAGCACAATTTCAACACAGTGGGAGGCTCCCATTAGGTAGTTTAAGCCACTTTAGTTTATAGACTATTTATGCTACTTGCTTATACAAAGCATTAAAAAAAATAGCACAATGCCCCTGTAAGGCAGAAACATTCGACTTTCTTCTTAGCTGCTACTTTTGTCATTGTGCTGCCCTGGGGGAGAAGGCCAGGAGGAGGGTGGAACAATCTGGAAAGCTGGAATATGTGATGAGCTACCTTCACCAAGGCCTCTAGGTCTCGCTCCCACATTCTATCTACACTGCCTCATGTGGGTGACAACCCAACCTCAGTCACTAGTCAGCAGCCTTGACTGCTGGGGCACTCATGTGAGTCGAGAGAAATGTCAACACCACACATGCCAACTTAGTATACTTTTTGAAGCTAGGGTGGGCGTTTCCAGCTCACGAGTTCACTCAGAACGAACAGTGTCTTTTCTTTTGTCTCCATACTGACTGAGAAAGCTATACACAAATGCCTGGGAAATCCTAGCTTGTTCTAGACGCAGCCAAGAGAAACAGCATGTGCAATTCTAGACAAAGGGAGCGAACTTCTGATTAGACTCAAAGGATGAATTTAGAAGCAAAGATACAAAGTGACTAGAAGGAGGGGCTTGACCAAAGGAGATGGTCGTTTCGTTATGATGTGACACAGAAAAAAAAAAACAAACCCGCAGAAAAGAGAGCGATAAGAATGCTTAGACCATTCCAGTACACTATTTTTCCAGTTAGGCCATCTTCTATCTCCTTGAAAGGACCACTTTCCAGAAAGGAGCCAGGACCAGAGAACATACACTTTGCTGCAGCCTTCTCCACTGTGGTGAGGACATATCACTCTGAAAATACATCCATCACAAACGACTAGAAACTACCCCCCACGGCATGCAACTTCAAGTATGTGACCATCCTTACCGGAAGATGACTAAGGGGCACGTCCACCTGGCCCAGGAAATCGTCTCGTGTCTGTTAGGAAGAGAACAAAGAGTTAGTGTTTCCATGTCTTCGCTGAATGTCAGCAAGTCTTAAAAAATGTTTTATTATAAGTAGAAACAAAGGCCAAGGGCTGACACTGGATGCAGCAGAGAGGAGACCCAGAGGAGCTGCAGGTAACCGTCACTCAGGAGACCAGCGAGCTTGTGCGCCTGGATGTAGCTGTCTGTGATTCTGTTTGATGTCTACTACCAAAGAGAAGGATGAGGAGCCATCTGTAGGAGGCAGGGGCACGTGGTCAGTCAGGGAAGAGCCACGCAGAGCCACGGAAGGTGGAGGGCAGAGCGGGACCCACATTAAAGAGAAGATGGCAAAGAAATGCTGGGGACATTTAAACACGTATTCACTGATGAAGTGCTATAAACTAAAGAGCTTCTTAAGAGCTTCGAGTCTAAGGAAAGAGCATAGAGCCTCGTTATTAATAAGTCTTATAAACTGCATATCACACAAAAAACCACACACACTTATTTACTGATTTACTGACTCAAACTGGAGTGCAGGGACTATTCACGGGTGTGATCGTAGCTCACTGCAGCCTTGAACTCAAGTGCTCAAGGTATCCTCCAGCCTCAGCCTCTCAAGTTGCTGGGACTTCCGGCACACACCACCCTGCTCAGCTAATTTTTTTTTTTTTTTAAAGACGAGTTTTGCGATGTTGCCCAGGCTGGTCTTGAACTCCTGGCCTCAACCTCTTCACACAAACTTTTTAAATCCAGCAAACACGTTGTTTCAGAATTCATGTTTACAGAGCAGGTCCTGCTAAGTTTCAGGACACACCATGTGCCTCCCTTTCTCATTGACTATACAGCCTATATCTTCCTGACTTAAAAGAGACCCAGAAGAAATTCATGTGGAGGCGCTCAGTAATCCCCTCCCAGACTCAGAGAGTCACTGGGCAGTCACTCAGCTTCAGGAATCATTGGCCTGGACCACAGGGTGGCTAACAGATCGTGGTCACACAATGTCCCTCAGTTATAGTGCTCGGCCCCATAACTAGCTTGAGGAAAAGCCCAAGAAGAGACTGCCTCACTCCAAATCCTGGCTCTGTATTTCCACTCTGCTGGTTTCCTGAGAAACTCTGTAAGGTACAGAAACCACTTCCCAAAGGTACTTGAAAATCATTCTCTTCTTCCACTTAAAAAGCAGCAGCAGGTGAATTTGAAGGAGATTTATTGAAATGATTTGCTCCAGGCTCAGGAATTTCCTTTTGGATAATTGAAAAAATTTGATGAACTGGAAAGCCATCTGTCTCTTCTAAACAATGCATGAAGGATAATAAAAAAATCAAAGTTACCACTGGTCGAGTGTGCACGAAGAATGAGACTAGCCCCAATCCTTTTGATGGGATTTTCATTTCTTTAACTTCCTTGGCTATATCGGCTACAACCCAACATGGAGATACCTCATCTGGCATAAGGTCGTGAGGGAAGTGTCAACACATCCTGCAGGTTTAGCATCAGCAGAAGGCCTTGAAAACAATGACGGCTTGGCTATCCCACTCACAGACCTGTCCCCACTGCCCCGGTGACTCACACTGATGACAGTTACACAAGGAATCAGGGGGTGTGGATGAGTGTTCTCCATTTGGCAGATTTCATTATAATTTTTAAGCCTGTGTAAATGTCAGTTAACTGTACCACACAAAATCAATGGAAATTCGCCGAACGTTGTCTGCAAATTGTGTGTCTACCTAATACGAGCAGAATGTCACTCCCACTTGTCCCTTCGCCTCCTCCACCTCCTTCTACGGCTGCTAATATGCGAAGGGAAAGGATACCAGACACAATCATCAGATGGACAGGACAATCCTATTCAAAGCTGTTTCACAATCTGGTAGCTCCGAAAGGCTACTCATGAACCACTAACCTCAGTGCATTTTAGCAAAACCGCACAAAACATCTACATGCCCATGCTGTTCAGCTAGGGTGAATTCTAAACTAATGAGTTAAAGCGTTGCCCAGACACCCAAAGACAGTCGCCCAGCACTACTGGCTACAGCAGCAAATGCTTACGTGGTGTTTGCCCTATGCAGACTCTGCCAAAGCTGCAGAAGTCCTTGCAGTCACCTCCAGACGAAGGCACAATGATCACGCCCATTTTATGGATGGGAAACCCAAGTGGTGTGTGACCTGCTCAAGGTTCCTACAGGACAGGCTGGATCCAGAGCCTGGCTCTAAAACACACTGTGTATTACCATTAGTTCCTGGCAGGAAAGCAAGGCTGAGTACCAGCTCTGGGCTTCTCGTTGGATACTGGCTCTATACAATGTGAAGAAGAAGGGATTCTGATGACAGCACAGTCTGATGAGACCTTGGGGGTTCTGTTCAAATGCTCATCTGGTATGTTATCTTTAACACTACCTCCTATTCCAACTGCTCCTTTCCTCAAATGAAACGTTTTACTGAATTCCCCAAGGCACTGTGAAGATAGGACACTTCACTTATACCTTAGCACAGTTTCTCATTAAATAAACAATTCCTAAAACAGAAGATAAAGCCATCTTGCCACTAAAGGAAGCAGAGGCTCTTACTGGTTTATATCAAGGGAAATGGGAATAATATTTTTTAAAAGCAAAACAGGAATCGAGTACAGAACAGCATACGGTCAAACTGAATTGGCTTAAACCAATGCTCCACTAGTCAACGGACAGATCTAGGCTTCAAAACATCCCGATGTTGCCAGGAAGACAGAAAATTTAGGCGATGTAAAATATTTAGGTTAAGGACACGATATCAATTTTTAGAAATATGCTGGGCAACCCCTTCGGGTCCCCTCCACTGTGGGAGCTTTTCTGTCCTCTCAATAAATCCTGCTTTCAAAAAAAAAAAAATATGCCTTCAACACTGTGGAAGAGATTTGGCAGGGGGTTCAGAGAGCCTCCTGGTGGCCTTGATGAGGAGGGGAGGAGCAGGAACACTGAAGGGTCACCTCTGGTAAGAGGGTGGAGGATCCTGCCCGTGTGCCCGGAGGGACCGTGCGCAAAACCATCACGACACCCTTAGGTCATCACTGCCACGCATGGTATCTCATACCGCTATTATAAAAACATATCCATCAAATCCATTTTTCATGATTTCCATTACAAAATTATTTTCATCAAGCATCACGTTTACAAGAGCCAAATCAACTCCAACTCCTACAATGAAGGCTGGCATTTCTTGAGGCTACTTTTAAGGGATAAAATGCTGTCATTTTCCACACCATTACGTGCCACACTGTTCTTGAGTCTGAAAATGTACAGTGTAGTAACAAAATGATCAATGTTTCATTCTGACGAGCCATCAGATATTTTCCCAGTGTGATAACGACGTAAAATAGAGCCCCTGAAATGTGCCATATCAGGTGAAACAGAAATCCACATTCCCCTACCGGAAAAGCTAAACAACTGCACAAGTCCAACACTGTTGCTCTTAGAGTTGCTCACTAAACACTGATGAACTACATCTAAGACCGTCCAACTCTCCTTTAACAATAACTGCTCTCTTTTAAATAAGAAAGGGGCCGAGCGTGCATCCATTTATACGGAGGGGTAGGCTGCCACCAAGTGTGGGCGCCACCATGACCTGAAGCCCAAGGACTATTACAATCGCTTCAGCAAAAGTAATTATAGCCTGTGGGCATTTCCTCGAGTCCTGCACGCACACTGGGTCAGAGCGCTGAAGTGGACACCAGGCTTAGATATCCTCACAAATTGCACGAGACTCAATCTCTCAGGGAACCACATCCATTTTAAAAACCACAGACTCCTGATCTTAGAACGTGACCTCAGAACTCTTGATCTTAGAACTGTATCTTATTGCACACACGGTCTGCATCACCCTGCTCCTTTCAGACAGAGGCGGTGGTGACAGCAAGGCCGGATCCAGAGTGAACCTCACCTGGGAGCTCAAAGGGAGGGTATGGAACTGTGTGAGGAAAAATGGCAGCAGGAGAAAGGGGTGCCCACAGGCCTCGCTGGGGCCCAGAGGTGCATTAGGAAAGGTCTATCAAAAAGCACCGGCGATTCCTAGAAGGTAAAACAACCCACCTGTAATCCTGGAGTTACGTGTATCAAGGCAATGTGTTGAAAGCTGTGAGCTGCAACTCCATAAGACACATTTTTTTTTTAAAGGATGACAGAAATTACCAGTGTCCCACATGAGGCACAAGCACACACTGTTTGAGAAACTCGTCTCAGTTACGCACACCTATAACTGCGTATACTAGGCTGTGATCTAAGATTCATTTATTTTTGTGTGCTTCCATCAAAAGAATTGAAAGCCACTCAACTCTGGAAAACAAAAACCACCTAGTACTATCAACTGCCTGGGGTTTCATCTAGAAATTAGTAAGCAGTGACTTCCAAAAATAAATTACATTAAGAACTTCTTAAGACACACAGAAGAGAACGGTAGGGGGTTCAGAACATAAGCCAGAGAAAAAGAATGTTTAAGTGTGAAGACGGCAGATGGTTAGATCTTTGTAAATTACAGATCAAGGTGAACGTCACAACTGCCTCTAACACCAAGCCAGAAAAAAGAAGCCTTGCTTTCTCACTAGACTACTGAATACAGCTTCCCTGGGTGCTACTTCCTTCTAAAGCCCAGGATGCTGCAGGCCAGCCCCTGTGCTGACTGGCAGGGAATAGGTTATATTTTTAGAGTGGCTTCAGAAGCATGCATTCTGAGTTATCTAAATAATGAATGGCTTGAGTAACTTTTACCGAAGCTTTTAGACCAACTGTTAAAAATAGAGTGACTCTTTACAGCTTACTGTGTGGGAAGTCACCTGGGTGTCCCAGTGGATTTAACCTTGAGAACACACTTCACTCCTCAGTAAAGCATGCAGCCAGCTTGGTTGTCCCAGACAAAGGAAGGAAGAACGTTCCTGTTTCTCCTTCCACCTGTCAGGCATGCCCACTTCTCTCACATGCAACAGCTGAGATGCAGGAAGAAATGAGGAGTGAGCCTGGCCCCACCCACCTGAGCACCGCA